TTTTAAATGTCTTTCTAAATTTTCTACAAAGTACAGGTATTATTTTTAGAAAAATGCCCTACAAATGTTATTTTTTAAAATACATAGAAGAGAAACTGTCTAAAAAAGACTGGCCAGAGACCAATGGAAAACTGATGGTCCCCAGGAGATGAATCAGTGGAACCATAAGTGTTTCCTTGGGTCATTACAAAAGGGGGCTGTATGGGACTTATAAAAGTGTAATTGTTACTTTCAAACTCACTAAGTTTGTTAAGGTTACTAAGTTTAAGTAATTCCAAAATAAACACATTATCCTTGGGTCTCCAGTACTGTCTTCAGTTAAAGTCTGTTACAGTGAAGTTCAGAAACATTAAGAGCATCCCTCACTGAAACTCTTGCTTGGGGGGCCCAGAATATAACCTTATACCACTGGAAAACCAGATTTAGGGATACCCAAAATAAATACAGAGTCCATGGCAGCTCCAGCCCATCATTCAGCAACATGATCCTGTAGTTGTAAAGATACGGTTCCACCATCAAAATGTTTGTAAACAAGAGTCCATGAGTGACTCTCTAATCTCTACATTGCTCACTAGCATTAAGTGAACCTTCTCTATATTGATGAGATGCAGGTCCAAGTAAGTGATTATTATCAACATCCCTCAGAGCTAGCAACTGCAGAATGCATACCTGGCAAAGCATGCTAAGCAGTAAGGTAAAACCTTAACAAAAAACTTTCCAAGAACAGTAATGTACTCAACAAAGCAATACCGAGAGCACTTTACATCTACATAAATTAGGAAATGAAACACAAACTGCATGAAAGAAATTCAACTCAACATTGAAACTATCATAACAGAAGCAACGTGGTTGTACCAAGGAGAGATCTCTGGTCCAGCTCTGGAGTTCTTGCTAGAAACTACCAAGAAATCTGCCCATGCTTTTAAGAGTCATGGCAGAGCAGAAGATGAGAAACAGCATTCCAAAGTACTGGGCACTTCTCTCCTGCACCCCATGCCAACGACCCACACCCCCCCCCCAGCCCTCACAAGGGAATATAAGCACAGGCCTGCTGAGACACAAGATACAGTGTCCTTCACCCAGAACTGCCCACCAACTAATCCTTACCCTAAGTTTTCACTCTTTACAAGTATTGAGGGGATATTTTTCCTGTGTAAAAACATCTGACTTTGTAACACAAATCACCGAGAAAATGGCATCCACTGTGCAGCCAATTTTGCTGAAACGTAACCATTTGGTAAAGGCAGGGGTCCTCGTAGAGTTCTACAAATACACTGAAAAGGATTTTAAATGCGTTATCTGTGTTCTTTAAGTTACTTTATTTCCAAGAAGTTGGTGTTACATAATATTTCTTGACAAAATTGACTGTGCCAATAAAATACAGGGAGAAAGTATTACTTCTGGACCTAGTTTCCACCTCTAAGGAAAGCCTTCCCATTTTTATAGCTAACATGACAAAATCTACTTTTCAGCCAAACTTCCTCAACACAGCAGTTTAGATACTATTTCAAATACTATTAAATTTAATAGCAGGCCTAAATTCAGACTTCTCATTTCACTTTTGCACCTACTGGAAATTATTTCACTTAAAATAATTATGTCTTCAGACGATTTCCTATTTCCACTTAAAGTGGAAACAAATTAGAACACTTCACATTCTATTTGCACTTCCCAAATACAGTAATGACTCATTTATCTGGCATCGTCTGAAAATGAGGTTCTCCACATTAAGCGTTTTCCAGATAACTGAAGTCCACGGGAGTGGAGCACTCATCTGCCCTGTTTCCTGCTGTACCTCCAGGGCCTGGAACAGGGGCTGGCACATAGTAGATGCTCAGTAATCGTCACCGGACATGGGATTAAGTAAAGTACGAAAGCTCTTTTATTTATAACCCATTTGGTGAAAACTTTTCTACAATTACAGCCATCACTTTTTTAAAAAATGCCACTGAACAGAAATTAAGCTTCTCTTATGTATTTCGTGTATCACTATAAAAAACAATCACTCTACCCTCCTATCATACACTTATAATGACCTCACAGAAGCTATAAAAATACACAGGGCATTCTGCCACCATATTTCAATGGCCTCAACATGCTGTGCTTTCTAACTTTTCCTTTTCTGATATTAGCTGTCAGTTCTGTTTGCTGCTGCCGCCTGATTTTACACACAAATGTCTGGCAAGGTTCTAAAATTAATTCTGCCTCCAAAGCAGAATAAAATACATGGACTTGGTTATAATTCAAAAGTCGTTCTCGCTTACTTCTGACCTGTGACTACATTCTGATTCTATTTATTTAACAGACTCCTTGCACCACCCACCATATTCTACATAAAATCTAAGATGATTCTCTTAGCTTTATACGAGTATCTTAAGGATTTTCATTTAAGTTCTAAGTTTCAAATATTAATCATGAGTAATGGCTCAAAGACTAGCTCCAACATAAACCTCAGGGCATATTTTTTTAATCCATTTAGGAGACACCAACCACGACAAAGCTGGATTTCATCTTGCTTGATATGCTGTGATAGGGCCATAATTTAAATTCGCTGTTCCAAAGTTCATGGCAGCAAAAATCAAACACACTGGCAGCCATGGTGCACTATACTTGCAGAGAAAGGCATATCTCCCTGAACCTAAGAGTGGAAAGGATAATTTCAGTATAGTATTTAGTTTATATAATACAACTGGAGTTTCTTCCCCACAACAAACTCTGAATAATGTTTATAATTTAGCAATCAACTGAAATGATGAAAGAATTACCACAATTGAAATAAAATATTTATGTATTTCAAACCAGTAGAATTGTGTCTTCAAAAACTAAAACAAGCGAAGACAAACCTAGTCTGAATTAGGGATGGATACAAATAAAATGGGGGATTTGTTTATTTGGGTTTTTGAGTCTCTTTTCTTCTTTTTAAAGATTTAATGAACTTTCATTTGAAATAAGCATGGTTTACTAAATTAGAGGATTTGATTACATATTCTTTAAAAGTAACTAGTTGGGTAAACAATAAAGTAAGTGATCCAGGAGTCGAGAAAAGAAAAATTACTTCAGACTGTTTTATGAATATTCTTCCAAAATCACCAATCCTTCAACAAAAATAGTTCAACGGAAGATTTCGGTTCCTGGTACTGAACTGAACAAAGAGAACCACATGTTTTTAATGGTTGCTCATAAAGGACCCAAATAAATCTCCTGAAGAACAGCAGTGGTTCCTTCTGTCCTTTTCCCTTCAAAACTCACAAGACCAATTCAACGCAGAAATCAAAATCACTGCGCTTTATGGCACCACTCACTCTGTGACACATTTATTTGCTGTCATGAAAGTTAGTGCCTCAACAAAGTAAATGAGATTTAGGGAAAAACTTTTTTTTTTACATTTTAAACGGCACAAAATGTCCTTACCATTTGAGACACAGAGTGTACCGACCTCAAATGAGAAGATTTTCAAACTAAGTGCGAGACCTAAGTATTTATATGTAAATGTTACAAGAAAGCTTTCCAAATAGCTTTCCAATCAACTATGATACTGACCTTAGATCAGAATTACACTGCTAACTACCACTTATAAGAAATGAAGCCTACAGAACAGAAAACATAACTTAAAATTTAACCACTGACGTTCTATTTTCCCTCACTTTAACTGTGAATTAAAACACAGAGCAACAGCACACCCTGCTGGAGGTAACTGATACAACTAAGAGTAACCAGTAGCACTAGATTGCTCAGATTTCATCCAAGATCAGAATTACTTTAGAAAGGAACTCTAATTTCTCCCTAAATGATAAAAGAGGCTCACAGGCATTAAACATTATGTGCCTACACATATTATCTTAAAAGTAAAATTAAGGTTTAGAATAATTTCAAAATAAAAGTACTGATTTTTCCCGCTCATTTCCCTAGCCCCACACAGCCCCAACCATCCCAATGATTTTACCACTTTTGATTTTAACCCTAAATTCTTTTCAAGTCTGCCTTCTGTACAGAGAAATGGATAATCACATAAGAGAAAACTGAGGCCATTTTCTGCATGTGACTGCCTGAAGCACCCCTTTTTCCCTCCTGCTCCATTGTGGCCCGAGAAACATCCCTGAAGACAACCACCAAGAATCGACAAGGCACACAGACAACAGTTTAGTGGTTACCAGAGGGTATGGGGGGTGGTTGGGGGGAGAGGTGGTAGATGAGGATAAAGGGGATCAAATATATCGTGATGGAAGGAGAACTGACTCTGGGTGGTGAACACACAATGCAATATACAGATGATGTATTATACAATTATACACTTGAAACCTATATAGTTTTGTTGACCACTGTCACCCCAATAAACTTTATTAAAAAGAAATTATTTTTAAAGGAAAAGAATCCACAAGGCAGTCTAGTGGTCCATGAACCACAATTTCCATGCCACTGGCAAAATGCCTACACAGATTCTGGAATTCAAAAAATGCAGACTATATTAAGAAACCACATGTCATGAAACTCCCATCCACTACATTTCAACATTTTCACAGACATGAAAAATCATGGACGCCATTGTCTAGATAATCCAACTCAGCACTCTCTCTGTAACAAACTCACAGGAAATCAGTGGATGAACAAAAAGGTATCCAAGTTTTGTAAATGTGCTCTTTTGGCTACAGAAAAAAGGCTCCTTGGTACCACTGAGATCCCTTCTTAGAGAAAACAATTTACTCTAGCATTGATTTACAGTTTCGAATGCCTAGTGTTAACTTCCTGGCTCCTTGCTCCCACATCTAAAAGGTTCTGATTGACCTGTGGCCAACTTGGAGGGCACTCTATCAGGAAGGCCAGCAACTTTGAAAAGTCCGACAAAGGAGGCCAAAGGAGATCAAACGCTTCAGTGGAGTTTTCCCTCAGGAACAGCACAGGCAAGTCACCGCAGGTCTAATTTTCTGAAGTTGTTTCCAGTGACATTATTTGGTTATTTCAGTCAAAGTACATTTCAATTAGAACGGTAGAAGGATACCAACCTCAAGCCTCTTTTCCAGCGACTCAATTCTGTCCTTTTTGCTTGCTAGGTTGGCCCGTGTATAGCGGCTCTGCCCAGGAAGATATAAAACTTGACTGTAGCATTCTTCCCACACCTGGTTATAAGCTTCACTTGAGAGTTCTCCGTGGCTCATACCTTGTTTTACCACTTCCATCTCCTGTACCAGGACATCCTGAGCCTGTTCACAATAATTGTTTCAGTAAGTTTGAGTAAGACAGAAATAGTTGCCATCAACAGAAAGCTTTAAAAGACTAGTTTTTCCTCCTTCTTTGGGCAAAGGAAAGGCGTTCTGGTTGACTGGGGTTTTTTTGGAAGAGGGGAACAATACTTAAACAAAATGAATGAAGAAGCCTGTAAGTCAATGCAGACTGGTCTGAAAAGTCAAGTATCCATGTATCCCCAATAACATAAATGTCCTTTCCTTCACTCAAAACAGCAGCTACCATTCCTCAGGTATCTACTATGTGCCAGGAACTGGATTTAATCGTTTTACCTATATTATCTGCAAACACCACAACCACCTTACAAAGTAGCCAATATTAACTTCATTTTGAAGTTAATGAGAGAGATTAAACAACTTGTTCAAAAGCACCCCACTAACAAGCAGACAAGGCAGCATCGTGCCCAAGCTAAAGGCCATCAGTGCTCGCGAGCTCCTTCAACTCTTACACTCCCTCCCGACACTTAGGACTTCATAGGATCGTGAAAGGGAACTAGGCGTTTTCTTTGACACTTGCCTTTTTTCTCATCTGAAGGAATGCCCCTGATATTGCCAGAGAATGAGATTGGGGGCACAAATCAAATAATGATGGATCACAGGCCTTAACATCTCTGAGACCATTTCTCATCTGTAAAACGGGGATACTATACATAAAGAGCCTAGTCCAACATCAGACACACAGACTCCGTGAGCGTGCCACACCAACTTTTTCAGCCCTTTGCTTCATGGCTCATGAAAAACTGAAAACCAATTTTGTGCTTTGTAGAAAGCTTTCAATCATTCTAGTAATGTTAGAAAATAAACACAGACCAAAATATATAAAATCAAGAGAAATGACCAGCATACAAAAAAAATTTCAACAAAAATGTGGAAAATCACATCTATAAAACGTAAAGAATGTATACTTTAAACAGTACCTCTTAAGGAAAATAATAAACAAACCAATTTCATATACTTAATGAAAATTTGACACTTTATTATAAGAGAAATGGTATTTCACTCTGAAACTGTACATAGTAAAAAATTTACAATTCCAGCTCTTATAATTCTGAGAGAGTACAGCTAAGCTATCTTTAAACTGTCCATAAAGAATCTGCTAAGTAAATAGCTGCTTCGAATTCTTTTTGGAACAAACAAGGCTATAAATAGATAAATAAAATATGGGAGAATATTTAAACTGCTTTGTTTCAAATAATTCCAAAACACTACTTACAATTATCATTTTCAAAAATTGTTAGAATCTATCCCCTACAGAACCTCTAGAGGCAATGATGTGATCCTTATTTCAAGTTTCCATAATACAATAAATTTAGGAAAACTTCTTTCCAAAATCCCCTCACATTTTCACTCTCAAAAGAGGGAACTGTTCAAGTATCACATTCATAGTCCAATTCTCCACCCCATCAATGATTAAGTGTGCATGCCACAGTGCAGGTGCTCAACACACGTCCATTTCCCATCGCACTTACTTTAAAAAAAGTAACTCAAAGCTACTCGGCAACCAGGGGCAAGTTGTTGAAATAGAAATCTAAACCCTCCTCCTTTCCCTATTTTCTAAAAATCCTAAAATAAACATGTATTACTTATACAATAAGGAAAAACACAAAGAAAGAGGGAAAGGAAAAGTGCAGGAGAAAAGACAGAAAAAGAAATCTTATTTTTTCTCCCAAGTATGTATTACCCCATTCCAATCGATGGGTTTATCACTGCCCCACAGGGATAAGGATTAAAGAAAAAAGACTTTTAAGCTAATGACCACTCTGCTTCCAACCATAAAACCAAACTGTATTTTCTTACACCGTTGTACAGATTCACAACCACAGCTGTTTGCTCTGTCAGAGCAGAAAGAATAAAACACACATGGAGGAAGAGGCAGGACAGACTCTATAGAATAAAACATTTCCTTATCCAAAGGACAGAGGGAAATCATGTGAGGGAATAAGTTCAGTAAAAAAAATATGATTTCCTTTCTTTGAAGAGGTGAAAGGTTATATTCTTGCTTTTTCATACTAATCTAAATAAATGACGTTTAAGGATTAAAGGCATTCCATTCTATTCAGAGATAGCAGAGTTGCAGAGAAAATGGCAACTGCCATCACTGTCAATCAGCACATGGCCATGAAAGAAAAACACCTTACCACCAAAGCCAGTGTTTATCTGATAAAGGTCTATCACTGAACATGAAGGGGGAGCGGGTCCTCCTTTTCGATTTCAGTTGTTTATGAATATGAATATCAGTATGGGGGGGGGGGGGTTAGTATTTGTCCATGATACAAGGTATCAAACAAATACTTATATCTCAAGACAGAAATATTCCGGCTCAATCATACCTTTTTCAGGTCTTCTTTGGAGAACTTTTCATAAGAGTTATGTTCCAGATAGGCAATGTGCTCTGGATTATTAGTAGCAAATCCTACAGTTTTTCCTTTTTTATTTCCAGACGGTTCATAAGGGTGATGTAGAAGGTCATAATGAAGCATTGTAATCATTTCTTTTTTGATTAATTCTTCGCTTTTCTGTAAATCTGTTAAAGGTGGTTCTACATTTAAGGGTCTTAGAATAGTTTCATTTACCTGAAATTTTAAAACAAGTATAATTACCAAACATATCACTGCAAAATACTAATATTATTACTTGTTCTCAAATTGGACAGCAGTTACACATTTTCAAAAAAAATTTTCTTCTTCTAAAATCTTGTTTGTACCAGTGATTGGATCTGGAAACTGCTTTACTATATTCCAGAGGATAGACGAAATTTTGTTTTATGCACTTTATAATGATATAAAAAATATCAATCACATTAAAAGAAACTTAAAACGTCCTAAGCCAAGAATTCTAACACTTACTTCTGATGGTCTTGGAAGATCTTTCTGGACAGCTTTGTGCATTCGTTTCATTTCCTTTATACGCTCTGCATCTCGTATGGCCTAAAAAATTATTTTTATATCTATTATTGCAATTATACAGTATTTGACACATTTCAACAAAGCTGAAAACATTTTAGTCTATAAGAACATGTATGTTCAAGAGCTACAGCTATAGACATCTGTAAGTTTGCAGAAAGGCAATATAAGGCAACAGAAATTAGTCTATTCATTCTCTCAATAAAACAGAAACTAAGAACTTTCAGTGTCTACTACAGCATTCTCCAAATTTATATGACTGTATCCATCAAATAATCATCCTTTTCTTGTCTAAATCGGATCCTAAACTTTGAGGGGCCTCTTAATTATTCCTCTTGCAACACAACCCTTCCTTTCCCTTCCACCCCCAAAGCTACCAATTCTTAATTTAAACAGCCAGCCAATAAACGTGTTGTTCTGATTCTCGAATTACGAATAATGTGGGATAACACATTAGAATTTCACACCATTTCTGAGAGAGTAAATGTAACTCAAAGTAGCTAAGAAACTAAACATAAAAAAGTATTATCCTATGTTCCTCACCTAAAAGTACATTCATGTGGTTTCCCTATAAAATATGATTTCCATTGATGTCATTCTCACTCTAATCTTAGGAAATTATTCAACCCAAAACCATCATGAAATGAACTGCAGGAAGAATTCCTGATAGGGATCACATGATCGCAGTTTTAGTTCAAGCTTCAGTACTTTCCAGCCATGAGACCTGGAAAAGTTAACTTAATTCACCTGAGCCTGTTTCCTCATTTCTAAAATAAAGCTAACACCTATCCTATGTACATCACTGGGTTGTTATTGCAATGAGAAAGTAATTAACTATACGATATGTTGGTACAAAGTGTTACTAATATTATTCTGGCACACTCTTAATTTCCATATCCACATTTTTTATTAGTTTACACTGACCTAAAACCATTTACTCAACCAATCCAAAATGTGCTTGTTTTTAATACTGCTCAGTAACACCTTTTCTTGGCTAGAGTGAAAAGCAACATCTAAAAGCCTACTTATATGTATCTTAAAGAAGCATAATGAACTTGACAGAGGGTATTTAAATTGCTATGTACATATACATTTTAAGAATGCCTATTCGGGCTGGCCAAGTAGCTCAGTTGGTTAAGAGCTCGCTCAAGAGTGCAAGCTCTGAGTAACAGGGTCACCGGTTCAATTCGCGGCCCAAGCTGAGCTGCCAACAGGTGGCAGGGTGGCTCAGCTAAAAAAAATAAATAAAAAAGAATGCCTATTCAAGATATTTTGAGTATATTATGAATTATGTGAGTATATATTATTAATGCTATAAATAATTTACTTTATGGTAAGTTTTTTAAATATTGAAAAAACTTTTAAATAGAGATCTCGAGCCGTTTAAAGGCCTTTCTGCATTCTATCGGCCTACTGGCATAGCCCGCGAGCTCACACTTCCTTTCCAGCACAATTACCCACCTGCTTTCGGGCATCCACATCAGCAGCATCTTCAATGTAGGTGTCGTCTATTTCACGGTCCTCCAGCTCCTTCTCAGCATTTTCTGGTAGAACAATTTCAAAGTCATTCTTAGGGGCAGGAAGGCCCAACAACCCTAAACGGAGGTGTTCACGAGATTCTCTTTCCTGTAGAAAAGAATTGGTCCTTCTCAAGTTACACACATTAAGTATTCAACCAATATTCTGTAAGTTTCTAAAAAATAATTAGGCTAATTTTAATTCTAGAAAACGATCCCTAACTTCAGAGCAGAGACGAGTTTTTTTGTTTAATTTCTATCTCCATTTTTTACCCACATTAAGACCCATCAAAAACTTTAATTTGGAATCAGTGAAGTTCCTCTGGGATATTCTAGAAGGAGGTTTGGGAATTACCTCTTCATGGACAGGAAAAAAGCCCTTCAGGATTTCCATTTAAGGAAAACATTACTGACACTGAAATTTAGTAGCAAATGAAAAGAACAAGCTAAAAAGTCAGTCTGTCCTCTAATAAAACCTAATCTGAAAAGATGTCAGGGAGAGAGAGAGAGAGAGAGAGAGAAAGGGAGGGAGGGAGGGGGAGTGGGAGAGCGAGAGCACACTTAATAGAAATACTAGGTCATATGCAGGCCAAACAGAACAGCCCCTTGTTCCCGAAGGAAACTCCCTGGTGCCCAGAGTTTTCCCCAGTACATCCCTGGCTCACCTTCTCAGTCTGATTCCCTAATGCTCCATTACACGTATGCTAGATGTGAGGAGATGAGTCGCTAAGAGCTGCTAAAAACTTGCTCCATGCTTACTCACACTGTGGTTTCCATCTGGGACAGCTGCCACCCACCTGAGCATCCCTCTTCAAGTAAGGCTTTCCTAGTACTCACCCAACAAATGTCATTATTTCTTTCTTTGGCCACCCTAAACATGTTGGTTGTACTCAATTGTAGTTCTTATACAATTATTTTTAAACTTGGTTTCGTACTGCCAATCTCTCCAGAGTATAAATTTCTTTATGATAATGGGCATCTTTACTCAACTTGAAATCCCCTGAGGCATCCAGATCTGTGCTCTGCACACATTAGATTTCTTCTTTTACGTAATTCTAATGTAGCCATTCAGTGTTGGCATATGTTGATATCAACTTGGGCATCAAAAAATTCTAAGCTAACCAAATCTATACATGAAGCTAGAATTAATTTATAAACTGAAAACAGGCCAACATCACTGGAACTCATTAAAAAAACAAATCTGACAAATTATTTCTAGGGCATCAGATAAGGCCCGACAGTGATGTACAAAAAGCAATGACGTGGGCAGAGCAAAACTGTAACTATTATAATCACCTTTCTACATCACCATGCAAAACATACAAATGAAAACTTCACTAAGATCAGCAATAAACTACAAATTAACTTGGCTTTGAGATCTAGATTGTCCTATTTCAAGGGTCAAAATCTAATTTATGAGACATTTAAAACAAAATTTATTTTACAGAAAAAAAATGTTTAAATACAATAAAAGTATCACTCAAAAAAATATTAATTAGGGCTGGCCAAGTGGCTCAGTTAGTTAAGAGTTGGCTTAAGAGCACGAGCTCTGAGCAACAGGGCCGCCGGTTTGATTCCCACATGGGCCAGTGATGCTCTGCCCGAGCTGAGCGGTTGCTAAGCTGCCAAAAGATGTCAGGATGGCTCACCTGGTGTAATAACAAGATTGCATGTTCGATGGTGGGCTATGCCCGCCCGCAACTAAGACTGAATTCGGCACCTTGAGCTGAGCTGCCACCCAGATGGCTCAGTGGACAGAGCATGCACTCTTAACAACAAGGCTGCTGGTTTGACTCCCACATGGGATGGTGGCTACGCCCACCGGCAACTAAGATTGAACACAACACCTTAAGCTTAGAGGCCATGAGCTGCTGATGGGCAGCCAGATGGCAACTGGCGCCCTCCACAACAAAGACTGAAGAACAACAACTTGGCTGATCCCCAACCCCAATTCCCCAACATTGTTCCCCTGCCCCAATTCCCCAATAAAATCTTTACAAATATATATATATTAATTAGTAAGTTATAAAAATTAAAATCATAAAACAGATACAAGGAGCATTATTATAGACATAATCAATATTCACAAACATATTAAGAATAAGAAAAAGTAGGCATGAGACCAAAAGGTTCCCTTTTCATGTACTCCAAACCATTTTACTTTTCTGACATCCATAGGTGTATAGATTCTTAAGGTATATGTAATATGCACTGACAAGGGGGATAATTTTAATTTGGCACCCATGAGACTTTTTTTTTTTTAATTTTTTGAAGAGTACTAAAAGGGAACTGATATGTACCATCTGCTTCACGTAAGAGGGATCACTGTAGTCTGCCATTCCATCCTCAGGATTAATGTTTAACTTGTCTCGAAGAGGAGTTCTACCCGGGGTGGAGTTAACAACTGGTTTGGGAGTTGTCCCACTCCGGGGAGTCAGCCCTTCAGATCCATGAGAGGGAGTCCTAGAAAAACAGAAATTCTAATTAATAAAAGTGCCACTTTTATTTGTATTGTGCTTTCAAATGGTTTTCACGTGAATCATTTTACAAGGAAAACAATAAATAAGGATTCCAGAAATTGTCTCCCTACCTGGTTTTGGGTTAGATTTCTAGGTTAAAATAAAGGTGTTCCTCAGCTAGCTTAGTATTTACATACAGTATTTTCATTTTCATGACTTCAAATAGTCATTACATTTAACATTTTCTTGCTTTCCAAACTAGGTCCACCAAACGTTATTTCCACTTTTTCCTGACACATCAGGGTGGCTAAAACACACAGGAGGTAGAGAGGTGAGCCACCACACTCACAAGATGAGTTCAGGGTCCTCATCGTATCATTTGTGTCCTCCCTGCCTTTAGCTGTTCACTATCACATCATCATCAACACTGGGCCTACTTTAAGTCATTCTTCTCTTTCCATTTTGTTTGGCAACCAAACACCAGGTTTTTAGAATCATATTTAAATATGAATAGTTCTGAGTGAGGGTTAAGAGAATCTCTTAGGAATAAAGTCCATAAACTTTGCAACTTACACTTCAATTGTTCAAAGCCTTTTTTTTTTTTTTTTGGCTGTGTTCCAGACAGGCGGTGCTGCCAGACAGCTGTTCCCCAAAGGTGAGAACGGTGAAGTGAGGTGCTATCATATAAGTTATGGTCCCTGACCCCAAGGAGCTTACAATCTAGTTGAGAGACAAGACATACACAGGGGAAGAGGAATTAGGCTCTCTAACAAGCCTTGCAAGAAGTGTTAATATAGAAGGATCTGGCTGCCAATGTTTGTTGATCCTGCTATCATGTACAGCTGTAACTGTCTGAGACGTTTCCCATACTAAACAACCAGTAGGAGGACATATTCTAACATTTAAAATTAAAAGTAAATTCCATATATTTCCAACCTTTAAAAGCTCCAATTCCATTTTAATTCGACTAACTTCTATAATGTTGGTATCTTAAAAATTCTTCTTAAAAACACAATAGCTTAAAACAAAGAACTGCAAACAAATACTGAACTCTGAACTCTACTTAATGATAAGCACGAGGAAGGGTTTAAGGGTGAAATGGACTGATACCTGCAAGTTACTCTGAAATGGGTTAAAATAAGATGGATTGATAGATACATGGGTATGTGATAAAACATTGTAAAATGTTAACAACTATAGAATCTAAGTGGTGGGTATATGGATGTTTGCTTTACCATTCTTTCAACCTTTCTGAATGTTAGAAAGTTTCATAATGAAATATTAGGGGAAAAGCAATAATACCTACAAGGTCTGACTATTAAGTTCGCAAACTTGTTGCAACGATGTTGCTAACCTTTTTTTGATATCAGAAGGATTATTCATTATGAATTTGTACGAACTGGACAAACAGTTAATCAAGTTTACTATTTGGAAGTGCTGAAAAGATTGTGTGAAAAAGTAAGATGTGAAAAACTTTTCACCAACAATTCCTGGCTCTTGCATCACGACAATGTACCAGCTCACACGGCATTGTTTGTGAGGGAGTTTTTGGTCAGAAAACAAAAAACTCTATTGGAACACCCTCCCTACTCACTTGATCTGGCCCCCAATAACTTCCTTCTTCACCGGAAGATAAAGGAAATATTGAAAGGAAGACATTTTGATAATATTCAGGACATCAAGGGCAATACGGCAACAGCTCTGATGGCCATTCCAGGAAAAGAATTCCAAAGCTGCTTTGAAGGGTGGACTAGGAGCTGGCATGGGTGCATAGCTTCCCAAGGGGAGTACCTCGAAGGTGACCATAGTGATATTCAGCAATGAGGTATGCAGCACTTTTTCTAGGATGAGTTCGCAAACTTAACTGTCAGACCACATTACGTACATTTAAAAAATTGCAATTTTTATTAAATTCACCAAATGATCATTAACAACGGATTAATTTGCTTTTAAATCAGATTTTGCAAAAAGAAGGAAGTTCCATATAGTATTTAACCATTTCCTGGACACTATTTTGTTATTTACTACTGTAAGTGAGGTGAAATGAAAAAGGCAAGCTGGTCACTTATTTATAACGATTCTCTGTTAACATTACTAAAGCAAACATGTTATCCAAGTCCTCAGATTCAAGTTTTTCTAAAACAGAAAACATTTGCTTATTTACAATACCTGAATGGGGTAGAAAGAACTGTGTTTGGAGTCTGTACAACCTGCCGCTGTGGAGTCACACCTGAGAAGTCACTCTCATGCAAAGGTGTATTTAGTCCACCTTTTAATGGGGTGTCCACGTTGGTCAGGGCCATGAGGTTCTGGGCTTCCTGATTAATGAGAGGGTAAAGAAGTGTGTTTTAATAGTTTAGACAGGAGGGCTGGCCGAGTGGCTCAGTTGGTTAAGAGCTTGCTCAAGAGTTTGAGCTCTGAACAACAGCGGTTCGATGCCCGGCCTGAGCTGAGCTGCCGCTGAGCTGCCAACAGGTGGCAGGATGGCTCAGCTTAAAAAAAAACAGTTTAGACAGAAGAACAGAATCCTCTCTTCTAGTCCTACTACACAAACCTTACAACAGGCAGAATTCTTATACATTTTCTCCATGAAAGCCAAGAAACAAACTGATTACCGAGCCGTGGCAGAATTCAATACTTCCATTCCTTCTGTCAACCTAACATAGCACCTCAGAAGTTTAAGAACAAAGTTTTTATGTCCAGAAATGCTTCTGTGGCCTCACATGAAATTACCATTACCCAAAGATGCTCCTATTATCTGTGCCAAACTCTTCAGAATCATAAAGAACTAAGAATTCAAATTTCCCAATGTGATCTTAGGCTAAATGTCAGAACACCTAAACGTTAATCTAGTTTTATCACTAATTCTTTATCTAGTGTTCATCAGCCTCTCTGAATCTCAGATTCTCCCACTAGAAAGTTTAAGACACTGCCCGCTGGCCTATTACCTCACGAGCACTCATCTGGGCAGGTTCGTTTCTGAAGTTTTGTCTGACCGCTTTAGGAAGGACTGACTATACTCTCTTTAGTCCCTCTATTATAACTCTGTATTCATTACTACCACTGCACCTGTAAGTCTCTTAATCCCCAGCGTAGGGTCTGTGAAAGACTTAATTTTAAAGATCGTCACAACCATATTTCTCATCTCCCATGCTCTTGTTATAATCCAACCTTAATACTCCTTCCATCAAGAGGCGGAGTCTAGGTCCCTTCTCTTGAATCTAAGTGGGCTTGTGACTCGCCTGTAACTAACAGAATACAGCATTAAGTGACACTGCTTGACTTCCAAGGCCAGGTAGAAAAAACTGCAGCTTCCCACCACACTCACATTGAAGCCCTGAGAGACCATGGGGGAAGTTCAACTCTTGAAGCCATCTGCTGTGATAAAGTCCAAGCCACAATGAGGCCGGATTTACTCCATATTCCCAGATGAGGACCCAACCCACAGCCAGCATCAAACACCAAACATGGAAAGGTAATGATTCCGAGCCCTATCCATCAAGTCATCCCCAAATGCTGAGTCTTCTTAGCTGAGGCCCTAGACATCATAGAGAAGACACAAGCCATTCCTTCTGTGCCCAGTCTAAATTCCTGAACAAACAGAAACCATGAGCATAACAGAAGGGTTACACCACTAAATTTTGGGGCAAAATGAAGATAGCTGAAGCAAGGCTTATTATACAGTATGTCTTTATTCATGAAAAGATCCTTGAATTTCACATTATCAAAGTCCTATGTGTGTTCTTTTTGTTATACCAAATACAAAGCATTTTCCCCCATCTAGGTTCCCAAGAAAAAAGATCTAACTAACCCAAGAAAAAAGATCGAGAAACACTGACATCAATAATTCCCCAATGAAACACCCTAGGCAGGCAGCTCAGCCTACAAGGAAGCCCAGAGTCAAGGAGCCTCACGCACACCCAAGGAGTTTCTGCTCAGCTTTAATTGCCCCACCTCTGCCTCCTAAATATAGGCACAGAGCCAAAGATCAAAAGATATTTAAGGAAACATCTCATATGAAAGAGAATAAAAGTAACAAAAGAAACAAATAACATGCAGGGGGGAAAAAAACCTATATAAACAGAACAAAACCACCATTAATTGCCTCAGAGAAATAAAAGAAGATATTCATAAATAAGAATGAAATCTTAAAAACTGAATACATTTTTTAAAACTCTTGGAAATTAAAAATATGACAGTAGAAATTTTAAAACTGCGTAAAGATAAAATTCATAAAATTTCCTAGTAATACGTCAAAAAGGCAATTAAAACAGAAACCTGAGAGGAAAAAATAAGAAAATTTAAGGTCCATAAGAGGACAGATCAGTGAAAGGGAGGAAATATTTTTTTATTTCAAAATAATTTCCCAGAATTGAAGGCCGTTGAGACTCCAAAACGAAAAGGTCCACCAAGCACTGAACACAGTGGCTTAAAACAAACCCACACCAAGAAACATGCCTGTGAAAAAGAGAACATCGTATAAACTTCCAGAGAAAGAAAAAAACAGGTTTCTTATTAACAACCTAAATGACACCGGAGGTCTCAACAGCAACAATGGATGGAAGCCACAAGACACTGGAGCACTGCCTTCAAAACTGAACAAAAGCCCTTTCAATCCGGAATTCTATACCCAGTTATACTACCTATCAAAAAAGAAAAGAGAATAGTAATTTACAGATATGCCAGGTCTTAAAAATTCCATCTCCCATGAACGTTTCCTCAGAAAGCTACTGAAGGAGAGGCTTCATTAACAAGGACTAAATCAAGAAAGCCAAAGACATGGGAACCAGGAAAGAGGAGACCCAAAGGACTTTCAACGGTGACAGTGAAGGGTAATCAAGAGAAGGGGCTATAAACAAATCTTAAAGAGTAATCAGCTATAAACAAATCTTAAAGAGTAATCAGTCCAGACGAGAACATGCAGAAGTTCTGGGAAAGACTTCTTCAAAAAGATAATAACTAAAATTTGCCCAGGTTATAGATTTATGCAGTTAATGTAAAGTTTAGAGTTGAATTAGTGCTAAGTAATCAGAAAATGTAGCAACTGAATAAAACAAGTATTAACTCAAAGAAAAACAAAATACCATGCAGTAATTATAAGGCACTTTGTGGCTCAGCAATGAATATGGTTTACACAGTTATAAGATAAACCATGAATATGGAGCTAACCAAAATTACGACATAACTGTAATGGAAGATGAGGGAATGGAAAAGAATGTGCATGCATGATAAGAGGCAGAAGATGTAAGAGAGCCAAATGTTCAAATTCTGGATGGAAAAATGCCTAAAACTGGAAAGAAAAAAAAACCAACATGTTACAAGTGTCTTCGCAATAAGATGATAAAAACAAAGAGTTGTAATTGGTGCCTCTAAAGGGCAAGTGATGAGGGACTCAACTCTTTTCTTACTAAACCTTAAAGAACTACTTGACTCCTAAATAGAGACTTTAAAATTATATTCCTGACTATCAGAAAAAAGGAAATGAGATGTTAAGGATAACACAAGACTCAACAGAGTTTTGTTATTGTCTGGCATGCGGACACCCTAAGAACGCAGAGCTGCAGACGTCGTGTGTTAAGGAGAGGAAGGAAGTAGTACTGACGGCAGCCTATGACAAGCTACGTCCAGAAATTCAAGGAAGCTTTAAAACCTACTGACTATACATATCTGATTTCTTTCTAGGATGGCTAGGCAACATGAAATATTAAAACGCTGTGCTTTACTGACAGATACTAACGATTTTATTAGAAGGTAGAAGGGCTGGCTTCACAAAAGAACTATGTCTTAATACATGTAGAAAGGAAACCACCTAATTACTGAACCTGCTGATTTAGCTTCCCTGCTCTAGAAATCTCTAAGATCTGTGCATTCAGGGCTCAGTTTCAAACTGCTTACCCTAAAAGAAACAAAACCAAACCACTCAGCGTTCACCTTCCTGCTTTCAAGAATAAACAAAGTGAAAGACGGGATCCCCTCTGCTGTATCACAGCTTACCTGCAGAATTCTGTCCTGGGAAGCTGGCGTCCGTGGTGTTCGAAGAGCGATGCTGTTGTTAGTGACATTGTACTCAGACAAAAGCGTACTGGAAGCAGAGTTTGTTATGCCAGATTCCTCAGCAGTCTGACGTGCAATTTCACTTGCTTGGCCTACTTTCACAACTTCCTGGAGTTCTGCATCTGAAATCTAAAAAGACAGTTATCACAGTAAACAATATTTTAATCAGAGAACACAGCTTAAAATGTCCATATTCCAGAAAGACAGATTGCTTAGGCTGTGTGATGAGTACATGGGGTTCACTGTACTACTTTCTTTACTTTTTGTGTGTTTGAAAATTTCCACATGAAGAAGTTTTTAAGTCTTTCCTATATAATGTGGAGGTGCGGAGGTGGGGAATTCTATGGTATCAGCTGCAAAATCTTATATGTATTTCCATACTGAAATTCTTTTAATTTCAACATATTAATAACCAAACACATAAAATAACAGTGTTTGTGCAAAACAATCATATGGTAGGATGACCGAAAACACATTAAAATATCACACAGAGAGTCCACTCAGCACCAAGATCCCTTAGAAAATCAAAATGTATTATCTTAGGGGCCGGCCAAGTGGCTCAGCTGGTTAAGAGTTGGCTTAAGAGCGCGAGCTCTGAGCAACAGGGCCACCGAGTCGATTCCCACATGGGCCAGTGATGCTGCGCCCGAGCTGAGCTGTCACTGAGCTGCCAACAGGTGGCAGGATGGCTCAGCTGGTGTAACAAAAAGGTTGCCTATTCGATGGTTGGCTATGCCCACCGCAACTAAGACTGAACTGGGCACCTTGAGATGAGCTGCCGCCCGGAAGGCTCAGTGGATAGAGCATGTGCTCTTAACAACAAGGCTGCTGGTTCAACTCCTGCATGGGATGGTGGCTACGCCCACCCGCAACTAAGATTGAACTCAGCACCTTGAGCTCAGAGGCCATGAGCTGCTGACAGGCAGCCAGATGGCGACTGGTGCCCTCCACAACTAAGATTGAAGAACAACAACTTGGCCGGTCCCCTTCTCCAATTCCCCAACACTGTTCCCCTCCCCCAATTCCCCAATAAAAATCTTTAAAAAAATAAAGGAAATGTATTATCTTAGTAATTTTACCAAAATTAATATTCTAAGGAGTACTAAGAAAATAAAACGCAAAGTCTCAAATTTAAATAATATCACTACTGGGAATGGCAGCATCTGACCAAATTATTTTGCTTGAGCTGAAGAATCTTGTGTTGATACAGCCAGTGCACTCACTTGGAAAGAGAACCTTCTCTGGCCTCCTAAGTCCATCACTATGCTCTATTCAACTGTCCAATTCTACAGAGTTGTACTACGCAAAACAGAACAAGGGCTTATTCAGCTCCTCTCCTGCAGCAATCAATCAATAATTCCTTTTTCATCTGCAGAAACTTTAAAAAAAAAAAAAAAGACACGAAGGGCTTATTCAAAATTCCCATGTTTCAGGGCCAGCTGAACGGCTCAGTTGGCTAAGAGGGCGAGCTCTTAGCAACAGGGTCGCCAGTTCAATTCCCACATGGGCCTGTGAGCTGCACCCGAATTGAGCTGCCGCTGAGCTACCAACAGGTGGCAGGATGGCTCAGCTGGTGAGAGTGCCTGCTCCTAACAACAAGACGGCCAGTTCAACTCCAGCATGGGATGGTGGGCTATGCCCGCCTGCAACTAAGATTGAACACGGCACCTTGAGCTGAACTGCCCTGAGCTGCCTACGGGCAGCTGGATGGCTAATGGACTTGGAGCTGAGTTTGCTGCACCCTCCACAACTAAGATTGAAGGACAACAACTTGGCTGTTCCCCTTCCCCAATTCCCCAATAAAATCTTTAAAAAAAAATAAAATTCCTATGTTTCTGCCCAACTATAATTAAGTCAAAGGAAAAGAGCCCATGATAAGCTGAATGAGGAAATGTTCCTATCTCTCTTCTCCACAATTCCCACGGTGACTTTCACTGCTATGAAAATGACACAAAACATTTCCTAAAAGAATGCAATGTAAAGTCCACAGAGCCAAACACCTTTATCCTGGTCAACAACAAGAGAGGCCTGGGAGCCCTAACCGGCTGACAAACTAGTAACAGCTGACCATTAGTTACTAAAGCATCATATGAGTAGTTTAAGGCCTGAGATCATTATGCAGAGGAGTTGGTGCTTATTTATCATGCTATTAATATATCACAATGACTTGTTTTTATGTGGCTCACCTATTATACTTGAATTTCTTAGGGGACCCAGCACCTAGCAAAACCTTGGTACATAGGCCCTCAGATATTTGAATGATTAGCATATGAGTACACACAATGAAAATACTGCTTTTATCATATCACCTGAGGGGCAGGAAGGACTAGTTTGCTTCTCTTCTTAGTAAATTCAGAAACACCACTAGTTTGAAGAATAGCTGATGGTAAATCAGATTCTTTTTTCCTTTTCATATGCTGCTTGTCTTTTTTTCTGTCTCTTCCTTCCTTTTCACTGTCATGGGTCAAGACAAAGAAGAGATTTTTTTTAAAGATACATAAAGGCAATAACATTAAAAGCCATATAAATACTCATACAGTTGAACAAAATAATCCCATTTCTATGAAAATTGCTAATAAGCAGACAAAAACTATATACATTAAGTTGGTCCTTACACCATTACATACCCACTATATTCAAGAGGAATGCAGACTTAGAATAGTTAATAATTATTAATAAAATAGGATACACTAAGTAATTTAAGCATTAAATGTTAAAACTATGTAACTATAAAAACTATGACGATAAGCTAAATGTTACATATAACATTAAAAAAACACAGAACTATTCCCAGTATCATACATAAGTATGTGTATGCACATAAGAAAATAAAGTATTCTAAAAATAAAATAAAAATAAAAGGAAAACAATTAAATGAAGGAAATGAAATTAAAACATTGTTAATTTTTAAATTTAAACCTGTTATTCAATTGCTTGTTATGATTTTAAAATTCACAAAATTTTTAAAAACGGTATTTAAGTTCTGACAAATTACACCAAAAATTTGTTAGGAAGTCTAAAGCCAGGCTCAAGGTCATCTTCTAAAGCTCAGGAATGCCTCCCTCCCCTGTGTGTGTCATCCTCTTCCCCCATCTAATCTACTCCTTCCAAATGATTAGTTTTCATCTTCAATCTCTATTTGCAGAAGCTACCTAAAGCAAGGTCGTAATTTGAGAAAATTCAATGGAGTACACCCAAGAAAATCTTGTTTCACAATGGCTGATATCTGTTGTTTAGTAACAACTCAAGTCAGTAGAAATGGAAAGTCAATCGGGAAGAAAAAAAAAAAAATACTTTTGACAGCCATAAAGGTTCTCCCCACAACATTCAGATATAATAATTCAAGAAACTCTAAAAATCCCTAAAATAGGCAAAATCTTAGGCACCCTAAGACAAACATTTTATAGATACACCTACTAATCCCAATAAGTGAAAATTTTTAGACTGTACTGGTGAGTTTTTTTCATTTTCATTTTAAGAAAAATGAGATCAAATTTTCACTAGAAAGGACAAAAAGACAGCCGGCCGAGTGGGCTCAGCTAGTTAAGAGTTGGCTTTGGAGTGCGAGCTCTCAGCAGTAGGGCCGCCGGTTCAGTTCCCACAGGGGCCAGTGACACTGCGCCCTCTACAGCTAAGATGGTGAACAACAGCTCAACCTGGATCTGGGCTACCGTGAGTGGCAGGCGATAGCATAAGCTGCAGTGGGGCTGCAGTGGGCTGCCGTGAGCTACCCTGAGTGGTTGGCAGCCAGCATGAGCGGCTGAACTGCTGTGAGCCACCGTAAGCAGCCATCCAATGGCCAGCGACTGGCTGCCTCATCCGGGAAGAGCACGTGATTGTAATACCAACATGGGCCAGTGAAGCAGTGTCCTCCACAACTAGACTGAAGAACAAAAGGACAACAACTTGTCTGTTCCCCTTCCCCAATTCCCCAACACTGTTCCCCTCCCCCAATTCTCCAATAAAATCTTTAAAAAAAAAAAAGATAAAAAGAACCAAACAAGATTTTGACAGATTCCTTCAGGCTATCAGTAAAACAACTAACCTGGTCACAGATGTGCATAAATCCTAAGATTGTGACCCTGAGCAGACAGTTCACTAAGACCCAAAGTGCAGACATTTCAAGAGACACAAACAGTATTCTATGCTAAAAACAGGACAGCCAGGGTCACTGATTTTCTCAGAAAGGTGAACCCATTAATAAATAAAAGCATATGTGGGCCACACTGTGCTAAATAATAAAAATCTGTCTCTAACAAGGATAATACTTGGCCCTCCATAAAATTCCTACTAATAACTCCGATTTCAAAACCAGAAAGGCAACTTACGATCTTAGCTCCCCATCAAGATCCTGTTGTCTTAACTTCCTGAAATCTGCATCAAGAGCCTGGTAGTTTTCCTCAGAAGTATCATAAAAACCAAGAGCAGGCTTTTTTTCAAATGGGATTTCAGCATTATAATCAACTCCTCTCTTCTTTTTTCTTTTCTTCTGAATTTCTATGCCAGCTGCTCGAAGTTCTCTTCTCTTTTGGAGGGCAGCAAGACGCCTGAAGAAAAAGAACACAACATCACCTTCAAAATCATATGCCATGGGGATGGGATGGTTATCCGAAAGAGTTAAGAAAACTAATTGGTTATTTGGGGAAGAAATAAATCCTCACCTCATACCATTCACCAAACTATAGTTCAGTTTCAATTTCAAGGTACGTGTGTGTGCGCATGCATACACGCGCGCGCGCGCACACGCACACACACACACACACACACACACACACACACACAAGCAAAAAGAAAAACCAGAAGGAACTACATAAGTAAATATGTTATCTTATCTCTGGATGAGAATGTACTCAATAACTATAAATTAAGGACAAAAAAGAGATCAATGGCTTTCAAATTTAAATTTTATATCTCTGTAGCACTCTTTTTAAAGAAATCATAAAAAAAAATTAAAAGGCAAATAATAAGAAAAATATTTGCAGTTAATATTAGGAGTGGTTAGATATAATCACTGAAAGTTTCTTAAAAATGTAACCCAAAGGAAAAAGAGTAAAAGAAACAGTTCCCAAAAAAATAAATAAATACATAAAAAATGCAAGTTGCTAAAATGACAAAAGATTTACCTAATAACTTGAAAACCACAAATTAAATCAACAAGTACCATTTCTGTATATCTAATAGCATTCCGCTTTTCGTTTTAATGGCAAGGGTGCAAAAAGTAGTAGACATTCCCCGTTCTCCCACAATGGTAATAAGAAAGTAAACTGGTATACCGTTTCCCAAAGAGAATTTAGAAATATACATTAAAACACTAGAGTTTAAAAATTTTTTTAACCCAGCAATTTCACTCCTCAGCCACTAGTCTAAGGAAATTAATAAGAACATGCACAAGAACTTAGCTACAAGACTGACTGCTCCTTAACGCTGTTCATAATAGTGTATAACCAGACATAATCTAAACATCCAAAAATAAGAAATTAAACAAATGTATAACATAACTATAAGATAAGGTATTATATAGCCATCAATATAATCTTTTTTTTAAGATTTCATTGGGCAAGTTGGGGAGGGGAACAGTGTTGGGGAACTGGGGGAGGGGACCAGCCAAGTTGTTGTTCTTCAGTCTTTGTTGTGGAGGGCGCCAGTCGCCATCTGGCTGTCTATCCGCAGCTCGTGGCCTCTAAGCTCAAGGTGCTGTGTTCAATCTTAGTTGTGGGTGGGCGTAGCCACCATCCCACGCGACAGTCGAACCAGCAGCCTTGTTGTTAAGAGCGCACGCTCTATCCACTGAGCCATCTGGGCAGCAGCGCAGCTCAAGGTGCCCAGTTCAGTCTTAGGTGCGGGTGAGTATAGCCCACCATTGAACAGGCAATGTTCTTGTTACACCAGCTCAGCCATCCTGCCACCTGTTGGCAGCTCAGCGACAGCTCAGCTCAGGGCACAGCGTCACTGGCCCATGTGGGAATCGAACCAGCGGGCCTGTTGCTCAGAGCTCGCGCTCTTAAGCCAACTCTCAACCAGCTGAGCCACTCAGCCGGCCCAGCCATCTATATAACCTTTAAAAAGCCTATAAATTTATTCTAACATGGAAAGATGCCCAAGACACAGTTATGTACATATTATAAAATTTACATGTTACAGAGCAACACATATTATATGCATATCTATCAATTATTATATGCATGGGGAGATGTGAAGGATGTCTGCCAAAATATTAACAGTGATAATCACTGGAAGTTGGAATTTCATTTAATTTTTACTTTTTTCTTTGTACTTTCCCATGATGTTATCATTTTAATGACTTAATTGATGAGAAAAGTTATTCACAATATTAAATGAGGGAAGATAAATTTTTAAAACAGTACACAGAAGCAACTTCCAGCTTCAGGAGGCTCTGCAGACCCATTCCCCAGGAAAGCTGACAAAAAAAATCAGTAAAAAAAAAAAAAATTTTTTTTTAAATTATTTTAAGTCTCTGAAAAAGATCCTAAGGGGATAGAGCAAATGAAGAGGCATTTATTCAAGGAAATCTAAAACTTGGTAAGAAAAGTGAGAGTCTGTGATATTTGAATCTAGACCCACTCCTTCCCCTCTTCCTCCAGCCCAGCTTAGGAAGGTGGAAACGCCACTCCACACTGGTGCAGCCATGAACAGGGTTCTCCCTCCCCTCCAACTCCCAGGAGGAGGGCTTCCACTGCAGGAGGGGCAAGGTAGCACCATTTTTATTTATTTTTTTATTTTTGTTTTTTTCCGAAAATGTTTGATTACACACAGAAGGGCTGGGGCTCAGTCCTTCTCGGCTGCTGCCTCCCTCCTGGCTGCAAGGACACTGCTCAGCTCCTCTCTCTCCTCTTGGCTCGGATGTGTGTCCCCACCCTTTTCTTGAACTTCAGGGCCCGCTTGTCCTCAGAGACCTTGAGCAGCTCCATGGCGCGCCGCTCATAGAGGGCAAAGCCGCACACCTCCCGGATCATGTCCCACACGAACTTGGTGTGTTTAGTGAGGCGCCCGCAGCGGTGGTTGTGTCTCGGCTTGCTGATGCTCTTGGTCACCTTGTGGCCCTTGTTGCGGCCCATGGCCATGGGGTAGCGCAGAGCCATGGCTGCTGCTCCTCAACAGCTGCCGAGGCTAAAGGGAAGGGCAAGGGTAGCACCATTTGTAATCCTGCCTCCAGATACCCACTGAAGAGGCTAGTTCAATCCAAAGCAGCTGAGAAGCAGTGGCTTCCTTCTCTGCCCAGACACAGGCTCTATCTTGAGCACAGTGCTACTGAACATACTGGAGTCCTAAGAGCCCTTGCCCCAGATTATGGGATGAGGGGTCCATGCTAGGAGAGGCTGGCCAAGGAGAACTGGAGCTGCTACCCACCCCTTCACCGAGCATTCAGCTCCTAACGTGAGGCTGTCACTCAGAGACAAAAATATCAGAGTGCAACAGTAAAACAGAAAACTCCAGGTATCTCGCCAAAGGCAGTAACTTCATTTGCAACAGAGGATGGAGAAGTTCAAGGCTAAGGATGCTCTCAGGAACTGTGGAAGTTGTGGTGAAAGACAACTGGGAAGAAAAACTGAGAGATTCATCGGAGAAATGGGCTAAGCTATAGGCCCACTAGTTTGCCAGAGAGAAACATCGAAAGAGATCGGTGGGAGGAGCCTCTCTGGAAGCAGAACAAATATCAAGCACTGACTTCAGAAAGTATCCCTTCAAAGGGGCCCAAATTTGGCTGGATTCATGTATGGAGCAATTTATGCCCCAAGACATTGAAAACAGTAAAGCAATCAGCTGGCAATTAGTAGCGTTTAACAGCTGGGTGCAGTCAGAGAACAAGAAGTCAAAGTCCTGTCAAAACCACGTCATCCCAGGGTGGCTGTGGGCATACCAAGATTGCACCCCCATGAAGAGCAAAATCGGAGGCTTCACATTTCTATGGGGAGGGAACAGAACAGACTCAGTATAATCCTGCCAGTCACTACACAAGTAAATAAGTAATAACAACAAAGAGGGGGTGAGGGGAACATGAGTACCTAGAATTGCTATCTCATCTAAGATCTACAATTCTCCACAAAAAATTATAAGACATGCAAAAAAAAACAGGAGAGCATGACCTATACAGCCAAAAAACAGGAGGCAACAGAAACTGCCTGTGAGAGCTACCAGATGTTGTATTTAACAGACAGACTTCAAGGAGCCGTTACAAGTATGCGCAAAGAACAAAAGGAAAACATGATTAAAGAAGTAAAGGAAGGTATGATGACAATGCTGCATCACACAGAGAATATCAGTAAAGAGATAGAAATGATTAAAAAGAACCACATGGAAATTCTGAATTTGAAAAGTATAAAGCTGAAATGAAAACTTCACTAGAGAGGCTCAACAGTAGATTCAAACTGACAGAAGAATTAGCGAACGAGAAGACAGATGGATAAAGATTATACAATATGAACAACAGAGGAAAAGCAGAATGAAGAACTATGAACAGAGCTTCACAGAAATGTGGGACACCATTAAGTGCACGAACATATGCACAAAAGGAATACCAAAAGGAGAGGTAAGAAAAAAGGGAGACAAACTATTTCAAGAAATAACGGCTGAAAATTTCCCAAGTTTATTGAAAATCATTAACCTACACATCCAAAAAGCTCAAAACTCCGAGTAAGATAAACATAAAGAAATCTACAAATAGAAACATATTTAAAATGCTGAAAGCCAAACAAAAGGAGAAAATCTTTAAAGCAGCAAAAGAAAAATGACTCATCACTTACAAGGGACTCCCAATAAGATTAACAGCTGACTTCTCATCAAAACAATATATACAGTATGATCCAACCTTATATAAATGTTATTTTGTGTGTAGATATACCTAAATGCACATCTGTATTGAGAGAAAGGCTTGAAAGGACACACTTCAAAAGTTAAAGTAACCTCATTCTTTAAATAAAGAAAATAAAGCCTTCAAATGACATTAGAAAACCTTTGCAATATAATACTAAGTGAATACAACCAAGCTATACATATCAACCATGCTCCAAAAAGAAAACAGAGCAACACTAAAGGAAAAGTGTATTATTTTTATAATCAATAAGAAGCTTTAAGTTATAAAACAGATCTGTAATTCAGAATTTAAAGTAAATAGCCCTGCATTGCACTTTGCATACAGACCCATCTAGTCTATTACAAGATATATATACAACATTAAGTTATAAAGATGTGTAGACTCTTCAAGAAAATCTACACGCGTAGGAAATTTAAACCTGAAAAAAATCTACTTAAAGCAAGCAATGTCAGCCATACTTGGGAGATTTTTCACACATGCACTTGCCACATCCCTGGCCCGATCCACCTGGTAAAAGGGTCAAAAAAATTTGGTTTTCAACCAACCATCAACAAAAATGGATGAGTGAATTTTTTTTCAACCTTGCTCACATTATTTAACCCTAACTAGTGTACAGAATAGAAAGGTGGCTGAGACTGGGCAAATTTAGTACCTCCTACTGGTTTCTGTTTACTGTCCCAGGCCAGTTATACTTCCATCATAAGTTACTATTCTGGGCTAGTGATTGGTCAGTGATACCAAAACAAGCATCCCCAGGCATGAAAGAATGCTCCATCCCAGGATCTGGCATTTTAAAGCCATTATTGGGGAAGCCATCAACACAATGCTAGCTAGTCTCAGGTCAGGAAGCAGTGTACTAAGGAGTTTATTACAATGCCTGAATTCCAAAAGTTATTAAGCTCTTATACAGTTTAGGTTTTTCCTTTACCCACTTTCTCTTGGTTTCTGGGCCATTAGGAATGATGTCAATCATGGCGCTAACCAAAAGGAAAAAAAGGGAGGGGAAAGTGGAGAAAACCTTAAGTGGGCAATACTTAATTCACTCATTTTTTAATTAGAATTTTCTGTGCGAGCCTAAAATTCGGCTTGAGGTTCATTAACTCCATCTCTGTTCAGTCGCGTTTCCTGTTGTAAGCCAGCAGCTTGCCCAACACTAATCAAGGAGAGTAGCTAACAGACAATCATGCAAAAGTCACACAGTCCTCTAGCCATCTGACTCCAAGATGGCTACAACAAATGAAGCTCTCCTATGCTAACAAAAAAATCCAATATGCCACGTGAACTACCTGGGCATTACTTCTGCCATACCGTATCAAAAACATCTTTTAATATGTATTTTTTTCTATATTCTGAAATGATTGGGAAGGGGAATAAGACTTTTTGAAGTATAATAATAAAGAAACTAATGAATATTAGCAAAACTGGACCTGAACAATTCTATTACTCACCCACCAGGGTTGGCTAAGTCACACAGTTTTATTGGGCCTACAGATGCACAGACCAATTGTTCAACTATGGATGAAAACAACCATACCTTGCTTCTTCCAACTGTTTCTCTCTTGCTTTCCTCTTGGCCTTCTTTCCCTGAGTATTAGCCAGGCGGGCTCTAGCTTCAGAAAGCATCTCAAGTTCATCTGCAAAAATAAAGAGAAGAAAAACTTAAGTTCTTCTCCAACAGAAGCAAGGTATCTGAGAGACACACCCTAGTGCTTAAGATTAGAAAAACTACATATAATTATTATAAGGTATAGCATAATGGAAATAGCTTGGGTTTTTAAATCAGAGAAACCTAAGTTATAAACTAGGCCCACCACTTGCTAGCTATCAACCCTGAATAACTTACTCTCCCTGAGAATGTTTCATCATCTATAAAATGAGAATAACAATTCCTACTTCACAGGGATGTTGAGAAAAGCTAAGGAAAATGAAACAAGTAAAGCATCCAGCAGGTATCCATTAAATAGTGGCTATAATTATCACATCCTTCATTATCATCTAACTGGCACAGCGCAAAATGTGACATACAGAAAATCTACTAATTAATTATAAGGTAATTGATCATCTTCATTAGCTTCACCTTTCTTTCCTCAGAACTATTTTTCTCCTCTAATACATTTTCCATGGCTCCCCAGAGTAGAATAATAAATGTCATTACTGATGCCTTAGACCAATTCCTATACAAAGCTGGAATCACAAGGGAATTTTTTAAAATCTCCAATTCCAGGACCACCCCTCCACCCCCAAAATTACCAACTCAGCTATCTCCAGGGGAGGACCTCGTACCTGTATCTTTAAAAGTTCTCCATGTGACAATGATGCAGCCAGACCAGCCATTGTCTGCCTTTGGAAACCACTACTCTCAAACTTCTAAATTTTAAAAACTCAACAAGTATTCATTAAGTGCTTCACAACAATCTTGTGAGTTAAGATAGATATTATTCTCAATCGGCAAGAAATGAAATCAAAGCTCAGGGAGATTATATGACTCGCCTATGGTCAAACAGCTAATAAAAGACAAGACATGGGTCTAAAATCCAGTTCCTGATTCTTGACTCAATGTCTCAAGGAGTCATCCTAAATCTCCATCACAGTCTTGCAGTGTTGCTTTTTCACAGATTAAATTTCCTGCCTCAAGTCAAAGAAGCAGCTAATAGGCCTGGAGCCCAATATCCTGACTTCTTGATTCTCTGCGCAGAATGGGAATGAGAATACAGGTTCTTCAAAGGCTTACTTAGCTCTAGCCTCCAGGAAATCTGTCCATTAGTATTACACTGCTAACTTATTAAATCAATGGACTAACAGAAGATAAAGGGACACTGTCCAAAAAGAGCAATTACTCTATAATGGAAGTCTGGACACATTTAGAATGAGATTTAGAATAACAAATGCAGATTTAATTGGGATTCTAAGAAGTCAGAGTTTAGAAAGGAACTAAGAGTTTAAAAGAAGCCTAAGGAGTATATGGTTACCAAAGAAATAAATTCCTTACGAGCCTATACTTACCCTCATCCATATCAATTGGATCAGGCCGTGCTGGTTTTGTTTCTGGATTTGGATCTATTTCTCCAGGTTTCAGTTTTCGTGGATCATCTGTTGTTTCCTCTTCATTGTCTCTTTGGGCAGCTTTATCCCTAGAAAGGAGTCCAGATGAGTTAGTCATAGTATCACACAGTTTAGTCTTGGAAATACCAGGTTTCCTAGCACTGGCATTCTTTTCTTTCAAAAACCCAATGGATAGGCATTAACAAAATAAAGCATTCAACTAGCGCCTCACCTGAGATGGTATTAAAATTCCCTCTAATTTCAATGAGCGTTTCCATTCACTATAAAATAGGATCCAAGCAGCCCCTTAATCACAAATGCAGAAAGCCATACAAATAAAAAAAAAAAACTTTTAGTGAAGAGCCAAAATGTTCCAATGGTTAACTCTCAGCAGTGTGATTATGGGTGATTTTTATTTGTTTTACTATTTTTTCCCAAGTTTTCTACGATGAAATGTATGATTTGTGTATTTTTTAATTATTATTTTACAAAATATATAACAGAAGACATAATTTTGATCAAACACATGAGATTTGGAGTATATAATCCAATAGCATTAGCTCCTTTAGCTTTACTCAGATCTGTAACTAAATGTTTAAAGGCAGAAAATGCTAGTTTATTCAGCCTCATTCAGAAGATATACACACATTTTTGGAGATTCACTTACAGAAGAAATTCATAGTGTTCCAAGCACTGGGCAGCTGTTCTTCCAATGATGGGAGCAATGGTCCTCCACTGAGTTGGCATCAATTTGGCCAAGTGCAACAGTTTTTCCTCTTCTTCTCTGGACCATTCTGTTTTCTTAATGCTTGGATCCAGCCACTCATACCTATTAAAAAGATACAATTTTATATATTAACCAGTCACTTAGCATGAATATCTTATTTATACATTAGATACACTGACTTCTAATGACTGAAAAACGCAAGGTAACTAATTACGAACCCTGTTCTTTTTTTACAACAGACTATTCACTGCTTTTGTTTGGTGTCTTTACATTTAAGCAAAACTACCGTCATTATGTTTTTCCTTTCCTAATTAATGTCCCACCCGACCCACCTTTTCCACCCATTCTACTTAGCAGGATGGGAGGCTGGCAAACAAAATATAAGCCTTACCAAACATTAGGGCAGGGGCTTAGCTCCACTAAGAGAAACAGAAATCAGAAACCACTTCTTCAGGCTGAGGATCATCTTCTTTGGGGTCCAATCTCTACATTCTGATCCTTTCCCCTAGCAGGTGCCTAGGAAATTAGGTCATTCTTGTGCAATTCAAAATATGATCCTAGAACCATATGGGTCAGGGCTGGGGCCAGATCACTCATGCCACGAACACATGTAGAAGTTTAATGTGTCCACTACTCAATGACTTAAAAGGGGACACAACAGATGTAGTGTTGGCTTCTGTTATATTTGGGAGGGAGCAAATATACCAAACTTCAATTGTATTATGAGGAAACTCAACTATTGTGAACTAGCCTAAAAAAATTAACCATTATTTATCATTTATTTCTTTGGGAAAGTAAGTTCTAACCAACTTTTAAACTTTGGGGACACAATCCATTTATAAGCTGCAGTCCATCTCTACCTAAAAGGAGATTTGTTTTGTGCTTCACAAAGCACTCTCAAACAAATTAACTCACTTGAGCCTCATAGCTCCATCAGTTAAGGCCAAGTATTATTATCATCCCAATTGGGAGAAAACAGGAGCAGGGTGTAGAGGATAGAAAAAATATTAATAGCTTGCCTAAGATCACATAGGAACCAAGTGACAGCTAAGTCTTAAATCTAAATTCCCATCTCCCACTCCATCCTTTCTGTCGTATCACAATGCCTGCTTTCTTTGATAAGCCTCAAAGAACAGACATTTTCCTCATCATAATTAAGGTCATTTTTCTGTTTTCCATTCATTAACGGTACATACCATCTGGCTTTGCACTGCTTTGCTGATTTTCTGTGCAGCAGTGAGGCAATCCTAGACCACTGGTTTTTCCCATATTTCATTACCGCTGCTTTCAGAATTTCATCCTTAAAAAATTGTCAAAGAAAAACAGTTTATTCAGTCACAAAATTCCAAGTGAAAAAAGACAAAATTTAAATTAACTGACAGGATAGTTAGCAAGAAAGAGAAAGACACACACACCTCCTACATTTAAAAAAAAAAAAAGTACAAAAATCTCATTTACTATCATAATAAACAGCAAGCCAGAATCAGCAAAATGCAAGAAACTAAGAAGACATCTCTCAAAAGGACACCGTTATCCTTCTTTACAGACAACCTCTCCCCCCACCCCCAATAAACTGAGATGGGTAAAGCCCAATCTAAGAAACCCTACTTGATAGAGGATAGCAAAAAGTATTCTCCAATGTATGGCTGTCATTCTCCTCAAAAGTATACAGCTCATTCACTGATTCATTCATTCAAAAAACATTTCTTGAACACCTACCTTATACCAGGTCTTGAACTGGACACATCCAACCCTCAAGTAGCAAGTTATGGCTCTAGTGACTCCATTCTCCAATCTAGGTTTCCCGCCTCCAGTTTACAAATGGCATTTTCTCTCCAGTCCCATAACCCCGCCTCTGACCCAAGAATCCACATCCCAGGTCTCACCTAAGGATTAAGAATTTCTCCCCCACCTCACTAGTAGGCTCTCCCTCCTGCCTCCCCCAGTATCTAGACACTATTTCAGCATGGCACCCATTCCAATATGGAATTAACCAATCCCAGAGGAGCCCAGCAAGTTAAGCCAAAGACAACAGGGATAATAGAGACACAGACGAATGCACTTGGGGCATTTTGCTTTTAGGCTTTTTCCCACATGGAACTTGAGCTAGATGCCTCATCCATGAGCTACTCCACCCCACCTTCCCATCATCAGAGATGAAAAGAGACTTCAGGGTTTTAGCCACTGGAGGGGAATCCTGCTGTTACTTGATCTTGTACATCTGTTTCTCCCCCAGAAGTTATCTCTTCTCCAATTTAAATTGCTTGGTTCCCCTCTGTGCAAGCTGTGATGCAAGGTTATCACTGACTTTACTTGTCACTTTGTTGCAGTACTGCTATACTTAAATACATCTTCAACTAAGTATAGATAGCAGTTATCTATCCTCCCACAATAGATTCATTCAGCAAACACTGGCCAAGCAACCTACTTCATGTTGGTTACTGTCCTAGGTTCTAGGGATACTAAGATCTGGTCCTCTTCCAGTGCTGTCTGCTGGGGGCAACAGAGCAACCAGCACTTACCAAAAGACTACTGTGTGCCAGACTCTCTTCTAAATGTTCCAAATATATTGACTCATTTGCTCCTCAAGAGATAGGTATTATCATCCCCATAAGAAAAATAAGAAAACTGAGGTTCTGAGAGGTTAAGAAACGTATCCAGCATCACACAGAAGGATGTGATGCCTGCAAAAGGACAAAGCAAGCTCTAACAAATGGATGAAAGAGGAGCCACTGGGACCACTGGGGTGCAACTAATTTTTACAGGATGAATGGGCAGAAATTTCAAGCGGAGGGTTTGAAGGATGGTGAAAGATGCTCAGGAGTAGGAGGATATTTAAAGAAAGCACAAGATATAAAAAGATCCAGATCATGAAAAGATAGATGTGCTCCAGAAACTGACAAATTCAGCGAACCGTGAACACAAACTGCACTAACATCTTACTTCTATTTTACTCCCTCTCTACGGCTCTTTGGCTCACCACTAGCATTATCCAATACATTTCCGGAAGCAAAGAAACTACTGGAGTCAGTTTATCCCATGTGGCTTCTACCCAGGGCGAGGGAGAGCGACAAGAAGAGACAAGACTTGGGACCTGTCGGGAGAGCAGACAAGTTATGCCTTGATAACAGACAACCAGAGATATGCGGGCATAGAGGGGCTCTTGGAACGTGGCACTCAAGCGTATTTCCCCTTGCAAGGAAGTCAATGAAGAAACAAAGTTGCGGCCAAACACTTCTTTATTTTTGAGTATCAAAGAGAGGCACGGTGCACGGGCTGGGGAACGGAGGTGCCCCATAAGGCCAACTCTCGCTGATGTCCCTTCTCCCCCTCCATACTCTTGAGTTCCCCCAGCGAGAGGGGCGCGTCCTCAAGTCAATAGGTGTTCACTGGAGGCCTAACAAGTGCCTGGCAGGTAGTCAGGAGGTTAAATCACGGTCCCTGTCCTTGAGGTGCTCAGGTAACGCAGGATCGGGTACAAAGACCCGGAGGGTCCGCCCGGCGCGGCCCCCCACGCAGACCCCGCAGGTCATCCTCCCCTCCTCACCCACCTCCCCGCGCGTGCGCACAAACTGCCGGAGGGGGCGAAGGGCAGCGCACGGCGGGAAAAGGGGACTTACCTCGGTATTCCTCCATACGCCCCCCTTAATCATAATTCGAGGCATCTTGGCGGCGGGGTGTCTCGGCAAGTGGCCGAGAGGAGCTTCAGAGAAGTAGTAACGGCGCTGCAGCCACGGGTCCCGAAGGAACCACTTCCTCCAGGCGCGACCTTCTGCTTTGTGAAGATCTGCGCAGGCGCCAAGGCGGTGGGGGTGGGGGGGGGGCGGGAGCAGAGTTACAAGTATCGCGAGAACTCGGATGGCTGAAAGGAAAATAAGTGCCTTGTTAAAATTCTAGTATAAGAAGACCAACGGAAGACCACGGAGCCGCTTTAGCCAAAGCGCACTAGGCCGCGCGCACGGCCAAAACAGGTTGGAGGAAAAACACGATCTTCGCGAGAAGGAAAGTAGTGGTGGGCTTGGCCGTGACGTCACCTAGTGGCAGAGCGTGGGCACATCACTCGTGTGGAGTTTCAGCCCAGTTGATCTAAAAAGAGCTTTTTTATTTATTTATTATTTTTTAAAGATTTTTATTGGGGAATTGGGGGATGGGAACAGCGCTGGGGAATTGGGGAAAGGGAACAGACAAGTTACTGTCCTTTTTTTTGTTCTTTAGACTAGTTGTGTAAAACGTTGCTTCACTGGCCCAAGTTGGCACCATCATTGCGCACTTCCCAAGGCAGGCAGATCAGTCCCAATTTCTGGCTGGCAGCTCACGGAAGCCCATGGCAACCACTGCAGCAGGGGCTGCAGCCTACACTGTCCTGGGTGACTCAGGGCAGCCCAGCTCCAGGTTGAGCTGTTATTCACCATCTTAGCTGTAGAGGGCAGTGTCACTGGCCCTCATATGTGGGATCCGAACCGGGGTCCTCTGGCGTCCCAAGCCAGCTCTTACCAACGCGCCACTCGGCTGGCCCTAAAAAGAGCTTATTTAATTATTAGTGTACCACTTTATTAGGCATTCAACTAATAGGAATTTATGCACAGAATACAAAGGAAAAAGCAATAGCTTATTTAAGCCTAAATTTCCTAACCTGTAAAAATAATAATAGTACCAACCTCATAAGGTTGTCCAAGGGATTAAATGAGATCATAAACCCAGCACAGAATCTGATACATAGTAACTACTCAAAATGTCATGTTATTACAAGAAGGGCAACCCCACGTGATACGTGATCCATGGTTGTCCCAGAAACCCTCTGTAGGATGTGTGACTCTTACCTCCTGCCCATTCCACCCCCAACATCAACTCAGTTGCCGTGGTTACAGTGTCTCTCACACACACACACTGGCCATTTGAGTTAGCAGATCAAAGCTGAGCCAATTAAGTCTCCTCCCCAGGAATTTTGACCCTGGAACCTAGAAGAGGCCAGTCTCTGCTGGCTTGATGAATCTATGTGACAGCCAGGAGTTTTCTGCGACAATGTTTTGTACTGTGTAGACTAAGAAGGGAAGAAAGCAGGTCTCAGATGCATAAAGAGGAACAGAAAGGAATATAGAAAGACAGAGGTAGGCCCTGACTCTGAGGAAGACCCTAGATGCAGTATATTCCTCAGTCCTAGATGCATCCCTGTTTTGAGTTCTAATGATTAGTTCCCGTTTGGGCTTTAGCCAGATGGAGTTGGATTTCTATTATCTGTAAGCAGGATTCCTAACGAATCCAGTCCTCTCTCGAGCCATTTCAGATCTAGCATTCCAAGAGCCCATGATGATGGCTTTTCCTTCCCAGTCAGGACCACCCATATGTCACCTTGATACCAACTAGAAAAAGGTGCCCCTTCTTCAAGGCACTTTATTGACACCTGCCAGAAAATTGTCACAAAATACTAGTGTTTTGAGAACAGGACAGTCTTACTATAAGGAAATTAGATCTACCATATCTAATGTGAATTGTGTCCCCTAAGGATATGTGTTATACAACCTGCCCATTCAGACAGAGCAGCCCTGTCAAATGTCCGCCAAAGCATCCCTGAACACGCAGACTGCATGTTTCATTTTAGGATTCAGAAAATGCAACATCATACCAGATCTGGGATGCCTAAAACCGGAGCCCCATAGCTATGAACACCAGAAGCTCTTCTCCAGCGTAGCCTGGATTGGCCAGTCTGCCCCACCGTATCTCCCCAGCCTCACCAGCCAGACCTCGGGGCCCTAACAAAGAGGCCATCTCACCCCAGGGGCTGTCAAGGATCCCTTGCAAGACAGCCATAAGGAGGGCTGGCCGAGTGGCTCAGTTGGTTAAGAGCTTGCTCAAGAGTGTGAGCTCTGGGCAACAGGGTTGCCCCGGTTCAATTCCCAGCCCGAGCTGAGCTGCCAACAGGTGGCAGGATGGCTCAGCTAAAAAAAAAAAAAAAAGACATCCATAAGGAACAGTCACCATCAGTCAATCAAACTGTACCATAGGTCACTGTGACCTTTAGGAAGGTGAATGGTCATTTCTAAACAGAGGCTAATGAGAAAGAGCCTCCACTTCTTCCTCACTCACCCAAATATGTTCCTCAGAACACTAGGATAACCCATTAAAAATAAACAAGTTTTTCACGATTACTTGAATTTGATAAAAGCAGGCATGCTCTGTCAGCTCCCTTTTACAGAATCACCAAAATTAAAGCCTGTAAGAAGTTGGAAGATGAAGAAATGTTTCTCCCTCTTGTGGGTTGAATTGCATCCCCAAACAGATGTGTGCAAAAGTCCTAATCCCTGGTACCTATACATATAACCTTATTTGGAAATAGAGTCTTTACAAATGTAATCAAGCTAAAATGAAGTCATACTGGAGTAGGGTGGGCCCTAATCCAATCACTGGTGTCCTTATAAAAACAAGAGATGTAAGGAAGAACAGTATGTAAAGAAGGTGGCAGAGGTTGGAGTGATGGATCTACAAGCCAAGGAACACCGTCGATTGCCAGCAACACCAGAAGCTTGAGAGAGAGGCATGGAATATATTCTCCCTTTGAGCCCCCAAGAAGGAACCAACTTTGCTGACACCTTGATTTCAGACTTCTAGCCTCCAAAACTGTGTGTGAGAGAATTAATTTCTCTTGTTTTAAGCCACCCAGTTTATGGTACTTTGCTATGGCAGCCCTAAGAAACTACTACACTCCCATTTTAATATAGCATTTCCAAACTAAGTTGACCCTAGAAAACATTTTTCTTATAGTATCTATTGACATGCAGGAAAGATAACTTGGGAAACTTTGGCCCAGGGGAAAGAGGTTGGAGGTCCATCTAGCTTACAAGGAGGTAACAAGAGATGTTAGCAGAAAGGTTTTGTAGGTTGCATTATCCCCTACTTCCCCACTGTACAACCCTTTTTGGGGAGCTGGCTCTAACTGGGCTAACTTTGCTTAGTAGAGAAAACAATCAAAATTCTAGTTTCTGTCTCATCCAGTTTTTTGCATCAAGAAACCGTCCAGGAAAAGGCTAAAATAAGGGTCAAAAGCCTATGAAAACAAGGCATGCCTCGGGGCTGGGGTTAGCCACTCCCATAATCATCATCTTCCTAAATAAACAGGTGGAATTTAAGTAGAAACACTGTGCTGCTTTGCAAATACAATTTCAAAACAAGTCTCCTAGCCTCACCCCATCTACCAGATTGCCACCCCTAAGCCCCTCCCTCCATTTAGAAATTTCTCAGCTAGTGTTGGGAAAAATTAATGTCTGGGTGTCAAAGTTATTACAAAATAGAATTCCATGCACCCTAAATGCTAGTAATTTATATCGTATTACGAACCATGGTTAATCATGTTAATTGGCTTGAGGTTCACTTACTGAGACTTCCTTGTGGTAGTTCCAGCTGTAGTTTGTCATTTTTTTCTCAGAAGCTCATCTTCATGAGTGTTATTTCTAGGGAGGCCCTTGTCCCTGAGGTGGGGAAGTGTTCCCCAAGAGAATTTGTTTTTCTCTCAGGCCCCAGAGGTTCAAGAGTCTTTTTGAGTTCATTTCTCAGTTTGGGATTGATATTCCAGTCAGGTAATTCATATCTAGACCCTTCATCCATAAATTTACATTTCTCACAAGAGACTTTTTTTTTCACATGCATATACCAGACCCCAGACTCAAATGCCCAACAACATCCTGGACAGTTCTTCCTGTGTGTATCACAGGTTCCTTAATTTCAGCTTCCCAAAATTGAACTTCCCACAGAAAATCTATACTTCTCCAGGGGATTCCTTATTTCAGTGACTAGCACAAGGCTGACAGCTGCCATGTACGGTTGTGTAAGTAGTTCACTGCACAAGGGACAAATGGAGCTGAAATCTAGCTTGCACACTGCTCACACTGCTCAAGCGGTACATCATGGGACTGTGTCCACCAAGAGTCCATGTTACTGCCACTTTTCCTCCTTCCATACCTTGCCTCACCCATATCCAAGCCATCCCATGTAGAGTCTTGCCATTTTTACCTCTTGCCCCCTAGATAGTTCTCAAATCCCTCTCCTTTGTGCCACCTCTGCTGTAAGTTGCCAGATTTAGCAAATAAAAATACACAACTCCCACTTACATTTGAATTTCAGATAAACAAATTACTTTAGTATAATTATGCTTCATGCATCCATTCTGTCCTCCCTTTCTAAGAGAACCCCAATTTTTACTCCAGCCCACACTGCACCCGACCAAAAGAACCCATTTCTAGCCAGATAATCATACCCACACTCACACCATCACCACTAGAAGCTGCCCCGACACCCTCTCCATGTTTAGTGGAGACAACCACATTTCCTCAGAAAACAAGTCATTGGGATATTTGGCTTCCTTTTTGATCTGAGGCTGGGTTCCTTCATGAACAAGAAATGTTCACTTGTCATGTACGTATTTCTTACGAAGTCCAGGTTCGCAAGCTTCAGTGTTGGCTCCTCAAGTCAGCAGTGGCTGCCGCGTACCCCAGGGTGGGCTCAGGCTATAACCCCTCCTTGAGTTTCCCAGCATTGAAAGGATGCCAGGCATCTCAAACAGGCTCCCCTGTCCTTTCCCAGAGTCCACTGGGAACTTGGCCAGTAGCCCCCCTAAAAGGGACACCATACCATGCCTGGCACATTGCCGAGATAGCACTCTCTCCTGATTTTCCAGCCAGGAAAGAAAAGCCTCTTTGGACCAGTTCCATGATCTTGAAGAGTTCCATCTCAAAAATACTTCACCGAGTCAAATGCTGTCAACAAGGCTTTTACCTACCTACCTTTAGAGGGCTGAATATCTAAGAGCAAAAGGAAACAGTCTAACCAACTGAATACCTCACACCAGAAATATACGACAATGAAATCACACAGAATATTCCTAAATTGTTTGTGGAATTTTAAAAGTTTAATGCCCTCATATCTTAATATTTTCATAACTTAGAGTATAGAGACTATAAAAACAGTATTTGAATTCTCTTCATTTAGCTTATTTGGATGTGAGTGCCTCTAGCTGTATAACATAATTTTCCCTCTAGTCCGCAGAGGCTATTTTTCATTTTTCCCGGGATCTGAGATTAGACTATCTTATGTGCAATGTAAGTTGGTACTCTAATGAATTTACTTGGAAATGTCATGTACAGATTGCTTCTATTAAACCTGCAAACTTCAGTTATTGAAAGTAAGAAATGAATACACACACACACACACACACACACACACACACACACACACCCTGGGCACACACGTTTTTATTTATTAAAGAACCTAAAGTGAGGTGAAGGGGATCTTCATGTATAATGGGTTCAACCTCATTGTGCCTAGAAAAAAGAAAGGGCTGGAACAGCTATGACCCTCACTTTTTTCCTATTTGGCCTCAGTCTCCTCAAAACACTCATGCTATGGCCTGCCCAAATTTGGTGAAGGAACTCTTCACCTATCAGCCATTAGGGGTGCCACTGAATAAAGTTGCCATTGAACAACTGAGATGTGCCCACAGAGAACCCCAAATCCAGTGAAAATTGCCCTGATTTTCAGGGCATAGAATGTGGCCCTGCAATTTCAGAAATTGAATCATTTAATCATTTTTAAAAATCGTATCTATTCAGGTTTAGAGCAGTGCTGAGGAATTCTACAGACCTCTGAAATCTAAAGACTACTACGAATCTTCTGAAACTGTATTTTGGTTGCTTTTTGTACTACCTTTACTGTGTAGGACTGCTCTTTCCCCCCAAACACCAGAGTATCTACTGAGAGCAGTTTCCTGTTCCACCTAGATAACCCCATCTGGAAATTCCTGAAGAACCTTCCTTTTCTTTTTTTTTTAAAGATTTTTATTGGGGAATTGGGGGGATGGGAACAGCTCTGGGGAATTGGGGAAAGGGAACAGACAAGTTGCTATCCTTTTGTTCTTCAATCTGGTTGTGGAGGACATTGCTTCACTGGCCCAAGTTGGCACCATCATTGCGCTCTTCCCGGGCGAGGCAGATCAGTCGCCGGCTTCTGGATGGCCGCTCACTGCGGCTGCTGGCCGCTCACGCTGGCTGCTGGCTACACATGGTAGCCCATGGCAGCCCACTGCAGCAGGGGCTGCAGCCTACAACATCACAGGCGACTCACGACAGCCCAGCTCCAGGTTGAGCTGTTGTTCAGCATCTTAGCTGTGGAGGGCAGTGTCACTGGCCCTCATATGTGAGATCTGAACCGGGGCCTCTGGCGTCCCAAGCCAGTTCTTAACGATCGCACCACTCGGCCGGCCCGAACCTTCCTTTTCATGTACATTGTGTTCTCCATTATCCACCCACTCAGGTGATTACAGTTGACATTTCTTTCTTTTTTAAGACATTTTATTAGGGAACAATGTGTTTTTCCAGGACCCATCAGCTCCAAGTAAAATAGTTGTTTCAATCTAGTTGTGGAGGGTGCAACTCAGTGGCCCATGTGGGAATCGAACCGGCAATCTTGGTTTAATGAGCCTGCGCTCTAACCACCTGAGCTAACCTGCTACCCCTGCAGTTGACATTTTTGTATTTTAAGTAATAGAAGCACACAAAAAAATTGTTTTCAGAAGTTAACGTATTTGAGAAAATCTGTTGGCAACCTCTTGTTTTCCTTTTCTAAATTATTTGGTTTTATTTTTCCTGGATTCTGTTGGGCAGTGGGGTGGGCCTTGTGTCCCAAAGGCAAGAGATATGCTGATGTTAACCTAAGGAGTGGTTGGGCCACGTGATCTCTCCTAGTTTCTGTAAAGACATGTATGAAGAGAGCATGAATGTACCATGTTCTAAGCCTGTTTCATTTGCTTTGGAATTGTCTGAAGACAATGTTTTGACAGGGAAAGAAAGTGTGTCTTATGTCTTGGGCACTTGGAGTCTCAGCATGGGCCCCAATTGTCTCTCTCCACTTTCAGGTTTTGGGCAGACCAGATCAGAACCCCTCATTAACCTACCAGTGGGGTCTCCTTAGTGGAGAAGGAGATTGGCTATGGATATGCTGAAGTCATTGGTTTGACTGCTGAGAGTCACAGCCTGACTGTATAGGTTTGGCTTTTGTTGCCACCTTTTCTTCCAAAGGTTTGCTTCTCACCTGTGATGAGAGACCCAAAGACTCATGACTGGTGCTGGCTGATCTGTCACCCTGCTTGGCTGTGTCGACAGACAATACTAAAGTGGGGAGTGGAGCTACCGGGCAATAGTATTAATTGCCTTGTGGAGATCAGCCTTTGTGTTTTTCTGACATGTATATCAAGTGAATAGCAGAGAAAATCTCAAAAGGAATTAATGAAATGAGAATAGTTTCACCAAAATTAATGAAAGCCCACATATTGTGTGTATCTTACCATGGATTTGAGGACATCCTTAGAAAACAAAATTTACCTGAATAAAACTGAATGTGGAGTGTATAGTAGGAGTATTGTCTCAATATTAAATGCTCTGAGCTTGATATCAGTATTGTGATTGCTAGAGAATACCCTTGACCTTGGGAGATACATACTGAAGTATAAAGGTATGTTGGAGTAAAAGGTTATGCTGTCTGCCACTCATTCTCAAATAATTCAGCAAAATAATAATAGTAATAATATGAGAGAGCATATGCACAAATTTGGACAGATATTAACAATCGTAGAATCTAGGTGATAGATTGTTCAATTGATTGTTCAAGTACGATTCTCACAACTTTCCTGTAAATTTGAAATTTTTCGAAATATAAAGTTTAAAAAAAGCAAAGCACACTGATTCCTTATCAAAGTCAAATATTTGATTTAGAACAGTCACACTGACAGAAGCAATCAACTGGAAGAGGCTCCCTGGAGTTTTCAGTCAGTGTGTGCTCTGTGGGCCTGTTTCTGCTCAAGGTTGCCTTGGGGAGTCCAAAGAATCTGTGGACAGAGGCATGGAGTTAAAGGTTGTATTCCATCAAGAGTTTTCAACCAACACACTCGGCTCACGACATCTGCAGAAGGGACCACCTGGGACAAAAGACACCATCTACCCGGGGAGATGCTCTGCCTTCTCTCCTCTCTGTGGAGAAGCCTCTCAAAAGCCTGCTCTTCTGGGCTCACCTCCAGTTTTTATGCTATTCTTTGAAGGCTCTTTAACCCACCAGGAGAGAATAAACTGTATATCAAGGGGACCGCTGGCTGCCACTTGTCAGCTGGCTGCCACTTGTCAAGCTCCTCAACTTCTTTTATCTCATTCTTCAGCTTGTTGGCCTTCTCCTTCACCCAGAAAGGCAAGCTGGAGGAAGAAAACAGCACCCTGAGTTTGAGTTTGTCTGACAGCCTCCAAAAGTAAAATGGCCTCCAATTTAGAAGATCAGTGTCAAAATAAAACACCATGTTAGTCGTTCAGCATTTGCTCCTGCCCCAAACCCAGATCTTTGATCTGCCCTTCTCTGCCCAGGACGCTGACCCCTGCAGATGGCATCACCTTGACTCCTCCCTGCCCCCACCTTTGAGCTGGGCTTGGCTAATAGGAGGCACCCCCAGGAGATCAGAAGGTGAGAAGAGAGAGGTTGGGTATTTCTTACCTAGCTCCTGCCCTGTCTCCTGAGATATCCCAGTTCTGGCAATGGCTGCATCTCCACTGCCCAACTCCTTCTGGACAGCCCTTCTCCATCTCCTACGGCTCCGTGAACCATGGTCCCCCTCTTGCTGCTCAGACCTTAGAGTAGTAAGAGCTCCCCACTGTCGGGAGCCCCTGGATGTTTCGCCCTCCCATGTGAGATCTCTCAACCTGCTCCCACATCTGTAAACAGTCCCTTCATTAAACTGCCTTTAGAGTCCCAGATGAGTGCGCCTTGTTTTCTGCTGGGGCCTCAGCTGATGCAGACACCCAGCGTCCTCGGGTCTGTTGAGATTTGAAATGGCACATGCTGGGCTGCACTTTGGGTGTTCCAAGAGGTACCAAGGCAGTGTGACTCCTGGGATGAGTCAGAGCAGGGAGCTGAAGAACGTGTTTCTCTTTTAGCAGTTAGAATTTTCACTCTTTTAGGGAGAAATGCAACATGATTGGGAAAAAGCCCTGAAAAACCTGCGGAGGGTAGGGACTTTTCTGCAAGAAGGAAGTGCAGGATCACCACTTAGGTAATAGGTGGGAGTCAAGGTTATCATTGAAAGCTGACAACCCAACAGTAAAAGCCCAAGTAAGAAAAGCAGGATGAAGAGCAATATACTGACGTATACCTCTTTCTAGGTTAGGATACCACTGTTTAGGAAAAAAAAAAAAAAACAGGTTCAAAAGGGAACTGAGCAAAAATATTAGATCAGAGACACGATACTTCCTTCAAATACAGGAAAACGCCAATGGCTTTCTCTCTGCTTCTTCCAACTCTAACCATTCTCCCTGGCTGCACTCATTTAAGCATGCGTCCTTCTTTTCCAACAAACCCTTATGGTTTGGAAATCAGGGGCCCTGTCTTTTTGCTCTAGATAACACTCCCCCATAATGCATACCCAGCACACCACATGGCATCTGGTAGTCAGTCTGTCAATCACATTGAAGCGTGAGAAACCCAGCTGCAAGACTCCAAAGACACTTGCCTCCAAGTGTCTCACCAAAAACCCTCCGTACACACTGCCCCACCCACCTGCTGCGATTCAGATGGTTCCTATGTGTTGAGTGTCTGTGAGTTCCTTCATAGGCGAAAGTAATAAATATTTGATATTTTCATAAAGATAAGATAATATAAAACATGGTGGGAGAACTCACTTAGGAATCTGTGGAAGAGGCTCAAGTGGAATAAATGTATCAAATTTCTTTTCATAAGGTACCCTGGAAAACAGAAAAGGTGATGATAAAATTGGCTTGGCTTCTACAGCAAAGCGATCAATACATCACTGTGTTCAATAAAATGTCTTATTTTCTCATTTTAATTGTCACGTATGGCCTTCAAAACTGGAAGGGCCACAATTCTTATTATTTTTATCATTTTCAGTAAACATCACTAAATCAAACATGGCTAATTTTTAAATTTGCATTTTTAATGTAATACACCAACTATTTTTCTTTTAATGTAATGACCTTTGTTTTCTCCTCACTTGCTTTGGTCTAAGTTTAGTTTTAAGTGTAAGTCAACCCAAATAGTAGGCACTAATTAACAACCTTACTCTGCATGAAAATTGAAAAGTTTTCAGATTTGTGGTAATAACAATAGGAATAAAATAAACAAACACTTCTTTGTAGTTGAGATCCTGTGTATAATTTTAATTATACACACATATGCATGCATACACTAAAAACGAAATATGGACTTTTTAGAAATTTTCACCAACCATGTCTTATTGAGATCTACCCCTTATAAAGTATAATTTATATATAGTAGAGAAAGATACAATTCCTTTATTTTTTTTTTCATTTTTACTTTTTTTTTTAAAGATAACAATTCCTTTAAAGTTAACTAAATAGTCCTGGTATTAACATACACTTACGTGGAAAAATTCACAGGTGGGAGAGTTGACCCTGCTTTGTGGAAGCCCTTACTCTGTTCTGCGTACATATATGGATTGTCTCCTGGAGTTAACTTTGGGATTCCGTTCCTGGGATCAATATCTGTGAAAGACATTTAAAAACAAAATCATTAAAAAAGGGTTGAGGGGGCTGGCCGAGTGGCTCAGTTGGTTAAGAGCTCGCTCAAGAGTTTGAACTCTGAGCAACAGCAGTTCAATTCCTGGCCTGGCCTGAGCTGAGCTGCCAACAGGTGACAGGATGGCTCGGCCAAAAAAAAAAGGGGTTGAGGGCCGGCCGAGTGACTCAGTAGGTTAAGAGCGCGAGCTCTGAGCAACAGGGTTGCCAGTTCAATTCCCACATGGTCCAGTGAGCTGCGCCTGAGCTGAGCTGCCAACAGGTGGCAGGATGGCTCAGCTGGTGAGAGCACGTGCTCCTAAAAACAAGGCTGCTGGTTCAATTCCACATGGGATGGTGGGCTATGCCCGCCTGCAACTAAGATTGAACACAGCACCTTGAGCTGAGCGGCAGCAAGCTGCCAATGGGCAGCCAGATGGCAACTGGACTTGGAGCTGAGCTAGCTGCACCCTCCACAACTAAGATTGAAGGACAACTTGGCTGCTCCCCTCCCCCAATTCCCCAACACTGTTCCCCTTCTCCAATTCCCCAATAAAATCTAAAAAAAAAGGGGGGGGTTGAAAATGATACACAGATTTGCCATGACAATGGCAATAAGATAATTTAGTATTTTATTATGAGCTATGCATAGGTGTTTTAAAGTTCTGTTTGTAATTGTCTCACCTTGAGAAGAAGATAAAAGTGAGCCTATGTTTGGGACATTTTCTAGAAAGTGCTGTTATGATTATCTCACCCTGGGAAAGAAGACTAGCTTAGGTTCAGATGGGATGTTAAAATGAATGGTGCATCAGAGGTATTTCTGCCATGATGAGCAAGAGCTCTGACTTAAAATCTTTTCATTCCTGAGCATCAGTGCATTTTCAATCCCGAGTTCTACAAGGCTCTCAAAGCAACTGTGATTGGGGCTCTGCCTCTCCGACTGGGTCTCAGGAGGAAATCAGCTAATGAGAGTCCTGCTCCTCCTGCTTCAAGAACTCAGGGCAGTGCAGCTCCTGGTGAAAAGGAGTCGGGAGAAAGTCTACTGCAGCTGGGCACACTGCTTATTCAGCGCATATGCTGACAGCTCAGTCCCTTTAACTAACCCAGGAACACGTAACCAATCACATGAGCTAGAAAGGAGTCAGCTGACACTAGATGGTCATTTAAACCCATACACCTGCCACCAGATGCACCTCTGAAGAGAACAAGCCTGGGCTGCAAGACAAGCCCGCCTTAGGGTCAGAAGCAGGGATGCGTGGCTGGAGGCACGTCCTCCTTTTTAGCCCACACACCCAATGAACAAAACTCTTTTTTTTCTTTTTAAATGTTTGTTTTGATATTATTCAACTGTACCTACGATGCAAGCCAGAGGGAGAGCGAGGGAGGATTTTTTTTTTTTAAGATTTTTATTGGGGAATTAGGGTAAGGGGAACAGACACGTTGCTGTCCTTTTGTTCTTTTGTCTAGTTGTGGAGGACGTTGCTTCACTGGCCCAAGTTGGCGCCATCATTGCGCTCTTCCCGGGCGAGGCAGATCAGTCGCCGGCTCCTGGACGGCCGATCACTGCGCTGCTGGCTGCTCACGCTGGCTGCTGACTACATATGGTAGCCCATGGCAACCCACTGCAGCAGGGGCTGCAGCCTACGCCATGGCCAGCGACTCATGGCTGAGCTGTTGTTCAGCATCTTAGCTGTGGAGGGCAGTACCATTGGCCCTCATATGTGGGATCCGAACCAGGGCCCTCTGGCGTCCTAAGCCAGTTCTTAACCATCGCGCGACTCGGCCGGCCCGAGGGAGGATTTTTGAAAAGCTGTTTCCTACCTACCCAAATTCCTCTGCCAACTCAGAGAAGCCAACTTACAATAGGTGGCAGTGCTTGAGTGACTGGAGTACTTAATGTTTTTCACTATTCTCCTTCAAAAGTCTTTTCAATACTTAAGACTCTTCATTTAAACTTTTTGTTAGCTCTTAAGTGTAGTGAAATATTAATACCATCAATTATACCCATGGGTTGAGCGCCTGCTGGGCATGAGGTGCAGGGGATTCAAAGCAAGGAGGGTAGAGAGACCCTATCTTTTGACAAGTAAAAGTCAGGAAACAGCAGAAGGCTGTGAGAAGAGTTTGAATTTGGGAGTCCCTCATGCCTGAGTGCAAATTCAGTTCTGCACCTTCTAGTTCTGTACCCTTGGGCTATTTATTTAACTTCCCTAAGCCTTAGAATCCTCATTTATAAACTGTTTATTTCAAATGTCTACTTTGCAGCGTTACCATGAGTCCTAAGTGAGAATAATCTGGACACATCATCAGCACTCAAGAAATGGTAGCAGTTATTATTATTTGAAATCAAGACTAGCCTAATACCACCCCAATTCCAATTTCTTTTTTTTAATCTGGAAAATACAATTGCCATCTAGCTAAGGTATAAACCTTTTCCTAGGGAATCTTATCTAGTTGGGGAGATGACATGTATACAGGAGATTAAATAATGCTATATAAGGTGGTAAATGCCACCCATACACTACAGAACAGTTGTCCTAAAATTTTAGCATACCTCAGAATCTCCTAGGGAGCTTGTTAAAAACACAGCTTTATGGGTCCCAGCCAAAGAAATTACACATCAGAAGGTCTGAGGTAGTTCCCAGAACCAGCATTTTTTACAAATTTTCCAGTTGATTGTGATACAGGTGGTCTGAAGACAACACTTAGAAATCTACTATTGTCAAAGATCTCACGAGATAATGTCAGCAAGTAGAAAAAGAACCAATGGCTTGTGTGTAAGTATAAGATGTTACTTTCAGGGGAAAATCTCCCAAACAACACTATCAGGTATAATAATGGGATCTTGGTATAATTCCTGAATAGTCCACAAATACAGGTACCGTTTTTGCTAGCCACTGTGTATTAATAGCTGATAGATCCATAACACATCATGATCAGTTCTGATGCTTGTTTGTGTTTCAGACAAACCATCTAATATCTGAGATATAAAGATGTTCAGCAGGCAGAAAATGGGATGTATACATTAAAATCAAAGAACTATATGAAGGAGCAAACTGTTCACCAAATAACATATTCTGCCCCCCATTTCTCCACCCCGATGCAGCTGGGTAGAGCCACATTCTAACCAATAGGCTGTGAGCAGAGATGATGTGTGCCACGTGCAGAAAGAAGCATTTAAGAGCTGATGTGGAACTCTCCAGCACATCCTCTTTCTCCAGCACTAAGGTTGCTATGGCAACCTTAGAAGCCATGTGCTGAGATGGAGAAGTCACAAGGTGAAAGCAAAAGGAATCCGTGAGTCACTGCCCCTGGATCCACAGTGGACTTTGCGAGAGAAAGAAGCACACCTTAATGTTAAGTTGCCGAGATTTCAGCAGATGTTTGTTACTGCAGCAGAATCCATCCTATTCTGACTACAATATACTATATTGTAGAACGACCCATACAAGAGAAAAAAATATATACTTGAGGTCTAGTTCCTTACAACCTAGAACCGCAGACAACATTTTGTTCTTCCACCTGTGACAACAATTTAGGCCTTTAGAGAACTCTACCAATAGCCTGATCATAGCAGCTGGGAGTCAACTATTAATTAAATATTTTCTTTTCTATAATAAATGTGTTGATAACAGTTCAACATGGCAGTTGGCTGGCAGTCCCTGATGATGCTTCTGCATCTTGTTCAAGAAATAATGAGGGTTAGATACAGAGAACAAACTGATAGCTGCCAGGTGGGAGAGGGCTTGCGGGGGTTGGGTGAAAAAGCTGAAGGGATTAAGAAGTACAAATTGGCAGTTACAAAACAGTCATGGGGGCCGGCCGAGTGGCTCAGTTGGTTAAGAGCTCGCTCAAGAGTTTGAGCTCTGAGCAACAGCGGTTCAAGTCCAGCCCGAGCTGAGCAGCCGCTGAGCTGCCAACAGGTAGCAGGATGGCTCAGCTAAAAAAAAACAAAAAAAACAAAAAAAACAAAAAAAAAATAAACAGTCATGGGATATAAAGTACAGCATAGGGAATATAGTCAATAATATTGTAATAACTGTGTATGGTGCCAGGGGTTACTAGACTTATGGGGGGAATCACTTCATAAGTTATATAAATGTCGAACCACTATACTGTGTACCTGAAACTAAAATAATATTGGCTGTCATCTGTAATTGTAAAAAAATTTTAATTTAAAAAGAAATAATAAGGGAGGAGAGAATTTCACAAAGGAAGAAGTGTTCCATGTCAAGCTTAACAATATCAAGTGCTGCAGTGAAATCGAGAAAGAAAAGAAATGGAAAAAGACCATGGCATTTGATATTTAAATAAGTCATTGCACAACATCACCTGAGATCATCACACTAAGACAAATCAAGTATCAGTTTTCAAGACATACATAGGGCAGAGGAACCTGTTAAATGGTATCAAGGAATGTAATCAGCAAAACCCTGACTATGGCAAACTCTACAGGACAAATGACCTAGTTTCGTCACCAAATAAATTGCAAGAGAAAAAGGGAGGGAGGACCTTTATATTTAAAGAGATCTTAGAGGCTTTTTAACTAATTGCTAAATGTGAACCTTATTTAAACAAACTACAAATATTTTTAAATTACGGCATTTGTGAAGCAATTGGATATTTGAGCACTGAATGAATATTTGGTGATATTAAAGAATTATTGTTAGTTTTTTAAAGATATGAGAATGGGATTACAGTCATGTTAATAAAAATAATCCTTATCTATTAGAGGTACATAATGATATGTTTACAGATTAAACTACCAGGGCTGCCAAAAAAATGTATACACATGACTTGTATTCATCTTTTGTTATCAGTACATACAATTTTAATACAGTTTTTTCCTGTCTTAAAATGTGTATACATTTTTTTGGCACCCTCTGTATATGATGTCTGGAATTTGTTTTAAAATAATCCCTGGGGGAAAGGGGTAAAATGAAAATAAGAGTAGCCACATTTTGACAATTGTTGAAGCTAAGTGATGGGTACCTTTGGTTACATTATGCTCTTCTCTCTACTTTGACTCCTTTAAAAATGTCCCCAATAAAATCTGTTTCTTTTTTTAAAAAAAAGCAGAATAGGGGTTACCACTAGAGTGGGGGAAAGAAAGATGCTGTATTCAGGGAGGGGCCTATTGGAAGCTTCAAATATAAAGATATTCCATTTCTTAAATAGAATGAGAAGCATACAAGTGTTTGGAAAATTTTATTCTACACAGTCAATAAATATTTCATAAATATACCTTTGCATTTACTCAGTATTTATAAAAACCATAAAAGGAAGGAAGGAAGGAAAGATGGAAGGAAGGAAGGGAGGAAAAGGAATAATAAACACAAAATTCAGGATAATGTTTACTGTTGAGTTAGGAGAGAAGCGATAGGTTATGGTTAGGAATTGGACAATCATGATAATCCCATTCGCTTTGATATATTCTTGCAGCTGGCTCCCATTCTAGCCAGTGAGACGAGTGGAAGAAAGTCTCCGAAGGACCATATGGTAAGACTTTTCCTTCCTTCTAAAAGGGGAAGGCAACAAGAGGATTTCTTCTTTTTCGTGTCTTAAATATAGACCTGATGTTTGGCACTGCAACAGTTATCTTCTACCTATAAGATGATAAGCATGAAGATAAAAATCCGACACTACCGAGAACGGTAGTGCACAAAGACAAAATGAGCCTATATCTTTGATGACATCCCTGGGAAACCAGTCCATACAGGCCACCTAGGTTTCAAAACTTCTTGTTAAGGACATAACAAATATCTTACAATTTAAGCCTCTGATAATTTGGGTTTTTTCTTACATGCAGCCAAGAGTATTCCTAAGTAACATACAGCTAAACTTAGTACCTTCTTGGTTTTTCTCAGTTGTTTCAGATTTAAACCAGTTAAATAAATCCTTCCTGTTCTACCTTATGGCTGCATCTCAGTTGGGAGCGGGAAGTAGGGGTGTGCACAGCAGGGTTACAGGACATCGAGGCTTTTGTAGAAGGCTTTGGGGCCTGGGTTACTGTCTGCACACCACACTGGTTATCTGCTGTTCAACTTACCTCTGCTACTCTCTGAGAGTTGGCATCTATTTTTATTGTCTGCTAAAATGTGTCATCCAGTCTGATCCTCAGGAAGCCATCGCCCTCCACAATGCCACAGGTGAAGCAGAAATTCATTCTCATCAGATCCCTGGCTTGATGAGCCACAGCGCATCATACTGTGGCCTCCCGCGTCCCAGTGTGAGACCTGCACAGCTCTCCTGGCTTGCTCTCTCTTTCTCTCATTCTTTCTCTCTGTCCTAACCCCCACAGCCATCACAGGCACAGAAACGCAGCTATTCTCCTACATCTCCTCGGTGGGTGAGACCTGAGGCTGGTTTCTGCTCATCCATTGCCCACAGCTATCACTACTGTTTTGCTCAGAGTCAGACAAGATGCCACTTCCCTCTGAGGCTCAAGGTCATCCCCCAGCCAAACTCTGAGACAGACGCCCCAGCTAGGTTCACGTCCAATCACCCATTAGAGTTTGATCTCAGGAGTTGGGCAGGATGCAGGGCTCCTCAAAGTCCCCCCATCAGTGGCTACTCTCCCCCCTCCTCTAGCCTGGCTTTTTCGTGTATTCTCTATACAAATAAAAGCCTTGGTTTTCAAAACTTTTTGTCTCCGATATGAGTTTAAAAGTCCATTTTAAAACTCAAACATGAGAACTTTCTATTTTTTTCTCTTTGTATTCCTGCAACAGTAATTCTAATCATCCCTGAAGTGGTGGCTGCCTCCTACACAGGTATTTCTGCAGAACAGTGTGCCGTAAACGGTCAGTTGGTACTCAGCAACTCTTTAGGGTTTTTCAATAAATTATGGGTAGGTTGGGACAGAGAACTCACCAAGTTACAAACCAAGGATAAAGAAGATGATAGATAGATAGATAGATAGATAGATAGATAGATAGATAGATAGATAGATAGATAGACAGATAGATATGCTCATCTCAATTACTTGTAATTAAATAAGCTATGAAATAACATGTATGTCAGGCTAAGGTTTATGGGATGTTTTCCTTGTGAAGAATACAAAGTTCAGTTTAAACGCATATGAGAGGCAGCATCTAATTGAAACATGAATTATTTTCTCCAGACTTCAATGAAAGTTTCTATTAATAAGTATCTGAGAGAACTTATCTGATGACTTAAATGTCACATTAGCATTTCATGAAATTCAGAGAAAAACGAAAATGTGGATCAGCGTATGTTGTGAGTTCTTTGCCAAAAAGCGCAGCCTGCCAACCATCGCCTTCACTTTCCTATCCTCCTGGCTGCCCTTGGGTGGCATGGTGACCTTGCAGGCTGCCCCCAGCCACAGAATGCTGGGCCTGCAGAGTTACGTTTCAAGGGTATTTTCAGGCATTGCACAGTCAAGGTCCAGGAGGAAAATGTTACCATATTTCTTCCTCCCAAAGCACTTGTCCACCGTCATCTCTGATAGAGACCTCTTGTTTCCAAGGAAGACCCCATTAAAGAAGCACTGCTTTCCAACATGGTAGGTGTGGATACTGCTGCTAAACCGCGGGTAAAATGTCCACTCAGGACGCTGCCCATCTTCTGCAAGACATCAGAAATCCTTCTATTATCACCACTCCCAGGCTCATAATGCAGTGGGATGACAAAAGGTTGTGAAAACTCCCCAGGCACTATCTGGCTGTACAACATTTATCAACCTGTATAATTCCTTGGTTCTACATCAGGGCAGGGTTAGCCTCTGTGGGACTAGGCACGAAAGGAAGGGAAGTAGGGAGAAAGCGGTCTAAGAGGCCTCTTGTTTTTTTCCTTTTTATCCTCTCCTCCAAAAATAAAGCCAATTTTATGGTTGGAAGTGATCTGTGGGTTGGGAAGCTCAGAGGCAGTTTTACAAGTACCTATGGTCCAACCTTCACTCTGATAAATGGGTAGGAAGAATAGAATTCCCATCAACGGGTTGGGCCAACCATGGCAACTTAACTGATGGAACATGGTGTTGGCAGCAACAATAGCACATGCATGTACTATAATGACACCGGACTATGTATACATGTGATTATGGCAAATGAAAAAGTTTGTTGTAAGACCTCAGGTAAGTTACTGGACCTCTCAGTGTCTTTGTTTCCTCATTCGATACTTTTCCTATAAAGAGATTTTAAGCAATAAAAGATTTCCTAACAGCTCTAGAATTGCTTGAGAAACACTTGGACTATCTGGTGGCCAAGAAAGAATGCAGGCTTTGGAGGCAGGCAAGTTTGAGTTCTAATCCCATCACTCTACTTCCTAGCTATGTATACTTGTATGGGTGACTGAATCTCTCCGAGCCTCAGTTTCCTTTTCTCTAAAATGGGTAGATCTCTATTAGCCACACAGATCTATACATATTGACACAGAAAGAGGTCCATGGTTTATTTACTTTGAAAATAGTTTGTATACTATATTCTACTACTGAAAATATGATTGTATACTACACCATATATATATACGCACATACATATATATTTTTATATATATGTATATATATGTACATATATATATAATGAATATATATGTATGTGTGTGTATATATATGTATGAACACATATGCATTTCAAAATTCTGGAAGAATAGTGTATATATCAAACTCTTCATAACTATTGGGCAGAATGGGGAATATTGGAGAATATTGGGGGAAGGGGTTTCTAGACTCTGTATACTTCTTTATTATTTTAGCATTTTGATACAGTTCTTTTATGGTTTTACATAAAGGCATTTCATTTTTGAAAAACATACAATGATATTTTCCCCAGCAGAGTTCTTGTGAGAGTTAGAGATGAAGTGTGTTGAATGCCTGGCATTTAGTGGGTCTTCAGTGTATGATGCCCAACACTATGGCAGACTTCTGAAAAGACCCTGGGCATGGAGGCATGTGGAGAAGAATCTATGACTTACTCACTTGTCTGCAACTTAAGAAGGCTGAACTCCTCGGGATATTTATCCTCTTGGACTTTAGGCAGTGAGATTTCAGAGGAGTGATCAGAAGGTGAGGAGGAGGATTTCAGATACAAATCAGCAGCAGGGCTGGGAAGGAAGCAGAAGGATTAGATTCTTCTGTGTGCTTAATTGGTAGTTAGAACCTGATCTTACATATCTTCTACTAGAATTACCTTCACTTATGAGAACTAGGCCTACTTCTCCATAAATGTCCAGGAGCATATAATTTGCTTATTCACAATTTGAGGGGACTGAAACATATTCAAAAGATGCATGCTTAAGAACGGTTTGGTGGTTCCTCAAAAGGTTATAGAATTACAATACAACCCAGCATTCGGGGTATCCCCAAAAGAATTGAAAACAGAGACTCAAACAGATACAGGTATGCGAATGCTCACTGCAGCATTATTTGTTCAGAGCCAAAAAGTAGAAACAACCCAAATATCTATTGACAGATGAATAGATAGACAAAATGTCACATATACATACAATGGAATATTATTCAGACATAGAACAGAACGAAGTTCTGACACATGCTACAACATGGATACACCTTGAAAACATTATGTCAAATGCAATAAGCCAAACACAAAAGGACAAATATTGTATGATTCCACTTATATCAACTATCTAGAATAGGTAAAATTTATAGAGACAGAAGATAGATTAAGAGATCAGAGTACTAGGGGCTAGGGAGAGAAGAGAATAGGGAATTATTGCTTAATCGTTACAGAGTTTCTGTTTTGGGTGATGAAAATGTTTTGAAAATACATAGTAATGATGGTCAAACAATATTGTGAGGATAATTAATACCACTGAATTGTAATCTTAAAAATAGATAAAATGTCAAATGTTATGTTTTATATATATAAATACGTGTGTGTGTGTGTGTGTACGTATTTTACCATAATTTTTTTAAAAGGAATGGTGTACTGATACATGTTACAACATGGATAAACCTTGAAGACATCAAAGGCACCAAAGACCACACATTTATGATTCCATTTATGTGAAATGCCCAGAATAGGCAAATCTATACAGATAAAAAGTAGATTAGTGATTGTCTAGGGCTGGGGGAAGTGGACATAGTAAGGGATGACTGCTAGAGGGTACAGGCTTCTTTTTGGGGTGATAAAAATGTTCTAAAATTGATTGTGGTAATGGTTACACAATTTTGTGAATACACTAAAAACCACTGAGTTGTACATTTCAAATGGGCGAATTATACGATATGTGAATTATGTTTCAATAAAACTGTTACAAAAAAAATTACATGTTCAAAATCATTAAATGGACATTTAAAATCAACAAGTACAAAGATAAGAGGAAGAAGTAATCAAAAACAAACCTAGACTGAAATGGCTATAATAAAGGAGCATGATGTTTAGTGCTGAACTTCCTAGCAGTTAAAAAAGCCTACAACAAACTACTGTGGGTGTCAACAGAAAAAGCAATCACTTCTGGTTTAAGAGGCTTTGAATGTGATAGATGGCCTTGGCCAATGTTTTCAGTTATCTGTTATCACATCATAGGCTCTTTTTTCATACTATTTCATCACCATTGTTTTTTAAATAACATGCATTTTATTTTTATTTTTTATTTTTATTTTTTTAATTGGAGAATTGGGGGAGGGGAACAGTGCTGGGGAATTGGGGGAAGGGGAACAGACAAGTTGCTGTCCTATTGTTCTTCAGTCTAGTTGTGGAGGACGTCGCTTCACTGGCCCATGTTGGTATTATCATTGCACTCTTCCCGGATGAGGCAGATCAGTCGCCGGCCTCTGGACGGCCGCTCACAGCGGCTCTTGGCAGCTCACACCGGCTGCCGGCCACTCATGCTGGCTGCCAGCCACACACGGTAGCTTATGGCAGCCCACTGCAGCAGGGGCTGCTGCCTACACCATCGCCGGCAACTCATGGCAGCCCAGCTCCAGGTCGAGCTGCTACTCACCATCTTAGCTGTAGAGGGCAATGTCACTGGCCCTCATGTGAGATCCGAACCCAGACCCTGCTGCTCAGAGCTGGCATCCCAAGCCAACTCTTAACCAACGCGCCACTCGGCCAGCCCTCATCACCATTTTTATATTGGAGTAGTTTCAAAGCAGCCTCATACAGCTTGTTTCATTTGCTCCCTACTAACAATCCTGTGATGGCCAATAGAACCATTTCCAATTGAAAAGGAAATGGACTGATTTCCAGTCATGATGAAGGAATAGATAAATGTGCTTACCTCCTGTCACAACTACCTCAAAATTAGTCTAAACTACAAATAAATTACAGAATAACCATCATTGAGAATCACTTGAAGTCTAGCTGTACCAAAGCCCTACAACTAAGGACATATAGAAGAAGCCACCTCAATAATGATAGGAGAGGCAGAGACATGGAAAAGGTTGGTCCCACACCTGCGTGTGACCATTAAAAATCTTGGCTTGTGAAGGTTGTTCCCCCCACCCAAAGGAGCGAGGGGTCCCAGCCCCACACAAGGCCCCCCAACCCAGGGGTTTCAGTGCCAGGGAGAAAAGTCCCCATTACTTCTGGCTGGGAAAACCAGCTGAGATTGTGGCTGAGTGAGACAAGAGCGGCTGCAGTCCCAGACTCTCTCTCCTGTTAAAGGGCCCATGCACAGACTTACTCACTGACAGACTCACCTGCTCTGAGCTCCAGTGCTGGAGCAGCAGCTCAAAAGATGCCAGATACATACATGGAAGAACTGACTCCAGGGCAAGGACTGGTGGAACAGCTGTCTCCTGAACAGAGGAGCTGGCAGAAGCCATTGTTTTTTGCTGAGCCTTCCCCCTTCCCAGCATGCAGACACAGGTGCCACCATATCTGAGTCTCCATCAACCTGGCTAACACCATTCATCTGCCCCACCCTGGTGATTCCCTGAGACCTTGTCCCACCCAAATTTCGGGCACACCAAGCCACTTCCAGTGGCTTTTCGATACAAACGGCCTGTCTTGGCTCATATTGCAGACTTTCCTAAAATTTCTCAAAGGTTAAAAAAACCGAGCTGGCCGAGTGGCACGTTGGTTAAGAACTGGCTTGGGATGTCAGAGGGCCCCAGTTCGGATCCCACATGAGGGCTAGTGACGCTGCGCCCTCTATAGCTAAGATGGTGAACAACAGCTCAACCTGGAGTTGGGCTTCCATGAGTCACCAGTGACAGCATAGGCTGCAGCCCCTGCTGCAGTGGGCTGCCATGAGCTACCGTGAGTGGCTGGCAGCCAGGGTGAGCAGCCGGCAGCCGGTGTGAGCTGCAGTGGGCTGCCATGAGCAGCCATCCAATGGCTGGCAAGTGACCAGGGAAGAGTGCAATGATAATACCAACATGGGCCAGTGAAGCAACGTCCTCCACAACTAGACTGAAGAACAAAAGGACAGCAACTTGTCTGTTCCCCTTCCCTTGATTCCCCAACTCTGTTCCCCAATAAAATCTTTAAAAACTAAAAATAAAAAGAACCAGTCAGAAATAAATAATACAATAACTGAAATAAAGAATACACTAGAGGGCTGGCCAGGTGGCTCAGTTGGTTAGAGCGTGAGCTCTGAGCAACAAGATTGCTGGTTTGATTCCCACATGGGCCAGTGAACTGCACCTGAGCTGAGCTGCCGCTGAGCTGCCAAGGGGCAGCCAGATGGCTCAGTTGGTTAGAGCACATGCTATAACAACAACGTTGCTGGTTAGACTCCCAAATGGGATGGTGGGCTGTGCCCCCCACACACACATGACTAGATTGAAAGTGGCGACTGGACTTGGAGCTGAGCTTGCACCCTCCACAACTAAGATTGAAGGACAACAACTTGACTTGGAGCTGATGGGTCCTGGGAAAAAACAATGTTCCCTTTCCCCAATTCCCCAACTCTGTTCCCTTCCCCAATTTCCCAAAAAAATCTTTAAAAAAAAAAAAAGAAAAGAATACAGTAGAGGGAATCAGCAGTAGATTCAATGAAGCAGAGGGTCGATTCAGTGATTTAGAACATAAGGTAGCAGAAAACACCCAATCAGAACAGAAAAAAAAAGAATTTTAAAAAATTAGGATAGTTTAAGGGGCCTCTGGAACAACAACAGTCATACAACATTTGCATCACTGGGGTACCAGAAGGAGAAGAGAAAGAGCAAGAAATTGAAATCTATTTCAAGAAATAATGACTGAAAACTTCCCTAACCTAGCAAAGGAAATAAATATACAAGCCCAGGAAGCACAGAGTTCCAAACAAGAGACCCACACCAAGACACATCATAATTAAAATGCCAAATGTTAAAGACAAAAAGAGAATCTTAAAAGCAGCAAGAGAAAACAGTTAGTTACCTACAAGGGAACACCCATAAGACTATCAGATGATTTTTCAACAGAAACTTTGCAGGCCAGAAGAGATTAGCATGAAATATTCAAAGTGATGAAAAGCAAGGACCTACAACTAAGATTACTCTATCCAGCAAAGCTATCATTTAGAATCGAAGGAGAGATAAAGAGCTTCCCAGACAAGAAAAGGCTAAAGGAGTTCATCACCACCAAATCAGTATTATAAGGTATCTTAGAGGGACTTCTTTAAGACAAAAAAAAGAAAAAGATCAAAAACATGAATAATAAAATGTCAATACCTACATATCTATCAACAATTACTTTAAATGTAAATGGACTAAATGCTCCAATCAAAAGATAGGGTGGCTGAGTGGATAAGAAAACAAGACTCTTACATATGCTGCCTACAAGAGATTCACTTCAGATTGAAAGATACACACAGAATAAAAGTAAAGGGATGGAAAAAGATATTTCATGAAAATGGAAACAAAAATAAAACAAGAAAGCTGGAATAGCAATGCTTATACCAGAAAAAAAAGTAGACCTTAAAACAGTCTATAACAAAAGACAAAGAAGAACCCAGTAATCCCACTTCTGGGTATTTATCCGAAGAAACCCAAATGCTACTTCAAGGGGACATGTGTATACATATATTCATTGGATGTGGAGGCAGCCTGGGTGTTCATCGATGGAAGAATGGATTAAGAGTAGGTGGTAAATATATACAATGGAATATTGCTCGGCCATGGAAGAAAATGGGTTCTTGCCATCCATAGCAGCACGGATGGACCTGGAGGGTATTGTGCTGTGTGGAGGATGTCAGACAAAGAAAGACAAATGAAGGGCCAGCCAGGTGGCTCAGTTGGTTAAGAGCTGGCTTGGGAGTGCAGGCTCTGAGTGGCAGGGCCTCCAGTTCGGTTCCCACATGGGCCAGTGACGCTGCACCCTTTACAACTAAGATTGTGAACAACAGCTCGACCTGGAGCTCAGCTGCCGTGAGTGGCTGGCAACGGCATAGGCTGCAGTGGGGCAGCAGTGGCTGCCATGAGCTACCATGAGTGACTGGCAGACAGCGTGAGCGGCTGGCAGCAGGCGAGAACTGCCATGACCTGCCAAGAGTCGCCATGAGCGGCCGTCCAGAAGCCGGCGACCGACTGCCTCACTGGGAAGAGCACAATGATAATACCAACGTGGGCCAGTGAAGCAACGTCCTCCACAACTAGACTGAAGAACAAAAGGATGGCAACTTGTCTGTTCCCCTTCCCCGATTCCCCAGCACTGTTCCCTTCCCCCAATTCCCCAATAAAAATCTTTAAAAAAAGACAAATGCAATGTAGTTTCGATTACATGTGGAATCTAAAGAACAAAATAAATAAATAAACAAACAAACAAAACAGAAACAAACTCATAGATACAGAGAACATTTTGATGGTTGCCAGATATGAGAGGGTTAGGGGTGGGTGAAAAAGGGGAAGGGATTAAGAAGTACAAATTGGTTGTTACACAGTATTCATGAGTATGTAAGGTATATCATAAGGAATGCAGTCAATAATATTGTAATAACTATGAATGATGTCAGATGGGTACTAGATTTATTGGGGTGATAGATGGGAGGAGACTTGGGGGGCAGGATAAAAAAGGTGAAGGGATTCAGAAGTACAAATTGGTAGTTACAAAATAGTCATGGGTTGTAAAGTAAAGCACAGGGAATATAGTCAATAATATGGTAATAACTATGTATAGTGCCAGGTAGGTACTAGACTAGTCAGGGGGAATCACTTTGTAAATTATATAAATGTCTAGCCACTATCCTGTACACTTGAAATTAATATAAAATAATATTGAACGTCAACTGCAATTGAAAAATTTTAAAAAGGGGGGAAAAGGTGAAGGAGAGTAAGAGGTTCAAATTTCCAAGTATAAAACCAGTAAGTCATGGGGATGTAATGTACAGCATGGGGAATACAGTCAATTATATTGTGATAGCGTGGTACAGTGTCAGATGGTTGCTGGACTTATACTGCAATCACTTCTTTAGGTCTATAAATGTTGAATAACTATGGTGTACACCTGAAACTAATATAATATAATATTGCATGTTAGCTATATTTTAATACAAATCTTTAAAAAATACTTACTGAAAAAATGTGTTCAATACATTTTAGTAATTATTATTAAACTTAATCAAGTAAAAAAAAAAGAAAGAAAGAAAAAGAAAAGGAAACGGACCTTCAGAGAATTTAACACTAAAACACACTAGACAGGATCAAAGCTGGATCTGCAGTCTCACTCTAAACTATGTGCCCTAGAGGCCAGCCGATTGGCGCATTGGTTAAGAGCTGGCTTGGGACGCCAGAGGGCCCCAGTTCGGATCCCACATATAAGGGCCAGTGACACTGCCCTCTACAGCCAAGATGCTGAACAACAGTTCAACCTGGAGCTGGGCTGCCATGAGTTGCTAGCAATGGCATAGGCTGCAGTCCCCTGCTGCAGTGGGTTGCCATAGGCTACTGTGTGTAGCCAGCAGCCAGCGTGAGCGGCCGCAGTGAGCGGCCATACAGAAGCCGGCGACTGATCTGCCTCGCCCGGGAAGAGCGCAATGATGGTGCCAACTTGGGCCACTGAAGCAACGTCCTCCACAGCTAGACTGAAGAACAAAAAGGACAGCAACTTGTCTGTTCCCCTTCCCCAATTCCCCAGAGCTGTTCCCATCCCCCAATTCCCCAATAAAAATCTTAAAAAAATAAAAAATGAACAAAATAAACTATGTGCCCTAGAAATCATAAAGAACCCTAGTTCAATAACTCAGAAGTCGTGTACAGCTTGATTTCCAGTTTTAAATAAACATATGTATACTAATATCTTTGAACTTTGGTTGTGTGCAGATAGAGCAAAAATACAATAAGTCAGAGCGCCCCCCCCCCATCAAGTTTAGAACATATGCTAATTTTGGCATTGGCATGAAATAAGTCTCTCCTAAATATTTTTCAAAAGGCTTTGCTGAACAAACTGTGTAGAAAAGATTGCAAGGATAAAGGAATCTGTCCAAAAGAACTTTAGAAGTACTCATCTACTTTGTTTACTCAACAAACATTTATCTGAATACATTTTGTGGCAGGCACTGTTCTAGACATTGATAATCCAAACACAGTCCCTGCTCTCAAGGAGCTTAGGGTCCAGGGTGGGGAGCACACGGACAGATAAACAGGGGAGGAAGAGTAGGTAAATGCAGAATGGGAAAAAGAAGGTTTTAAAGAAGAATATCAAATATTTATGTATCTGCATAAGAAAGAAATAGAAGTTTTTTCTTATGCATGTTAAAAACATCAAAATTTTAACACTGTTTCTCTAAGAAGTGGATTTATTGTGATTTTTATTTTTAATACTGTTTTTATTTTCAAGATTTATACAATGAACTTAAATTTCATTATAACAAAAATTATTAGAAAAAGCTTTTCAAAACTTTTTCTGTAAAAGAAATATAAACAGAGAAAAGTACATAAAACATAAGTATAGCTTTATAAATAATTATAAAGCCAACATCCAGGACAAGAAACAAAACAGGGCCAGCCCTTCCCTCTCTCCCTCCCCAGAAACTATCCGTGTTGTCCCTTTTCCAGAGATGTAACCACTATCCTGACTCTGACCCTCAAAGTAATCATTTCTTTGCTTTTCTTTAAGATTTACTACCTATATATGTATGTATGTATTCCCAAAAAATATAGTTTAGTTATACCTGCTTTTGAACTTCATAATAGCAAGCACTTATATAGAACTTATTGTATGCCTGGAAGTTATCTAATCACTTTACATGTATTACCTCATTTAACTCTCACAGCAATCCTATGGAGTGTTATCCCCATCTTACAGATGAGAAAACTGAGGCCCAAGGAGGTGAAGTAATTTGCCCAAGTTCACACAGGTGTTAAGTGGCAGAGCTGGGATTTGAACCCAGACAATCTGGCTCCAGAATCCATGTTCTTGACAAATACGTCAAGCTACCACTCAGACTGTTGGCTCCCTGGTCAGGCTTTACCCCTCCGTTTATGGCTCTTCAATGGACCCTTACTTACTCCAAGTGAGCAGACAACTGGCAGGCGCCTGAAGGCTCACTGATATTTAGACCTGTTGCAACAGAAGATGAGGGGATGACCCTTTGGTCAAAGGATGTTGTGTTGGCAAAGCATCCCTTAGATTCTGGAAAATCCTTGCATTTAGTACCTGCAACACATAGATATCACCGTGTGATTACATTAATGAAAATACTGTATCTTGTTCCCAATCTATCTTGTTCCCTAGATTATAAATTTTTTTTTAAACTAACATTTTGGGCCAGCCGAGTGACACATTGGTTAAGAGGGCCCCGGTTCGGATCCCACATATGAGGGCCAGTGACACTGCCCTCCACAGCTAAGATACTGAACAACAGCTCAACCTGGAGCTGGACTGCCATGAGTCTCCGGCGACAGCGTAGGCTGCAACCCCTGCTGCAGTGGGTTCCCATGTGCTACCATGTGTAGCCAGCAGCTGCCGTGAGCTGCCGTGCAGAAGCCAGTGACTGATCTGCCTCGCCCGGGAAGAGAGCAATGATGGTGCCAACTTGGGCCAGTGAAGCAACATCCTCCACAACTAGACTGAAGAACAAAAACTTGTCTGTTCCCCTTCCCCCAATTCCCCAGTGCTGTTCCCACCCCCCAATTCCCCAATAAAAATCTTAAAAAAAAAACTAACATTTTTTGAG